ATGAAGAAGATCAAAAATTTTATTACTCTTTCGATCACTAATGGGAAACGAGGATCGATTTTGTTTGGCACGATAACAAATATCGCATGCCTTATTGTTTACATTGCCAAATCGAATGCTACTAGAAAAAAGAATCAGAGAAAGTGCTTCGGATGATGCATGGCCCAACCGCTTGTGCCAAAGTTCTTGCGTATCACTGGAGCGAACTGTTAAAGCTGCTGCTTGGCTTGGTCGAAACACATACACACCATCCCTGTGATCACCCAATCCAATCTCCGTCCTCAGCTTGCGGTCCTGCAAAACACAACTATTATTAGTGAATACCACATCAACATTATGTTGTCGTACCAACTGAGATACAGATATAAAGTTACACTTTAAATTTGGCACAAATAAGACATTGGATAATGAAAAAGAAGGAGTAAACGAAACAGATCCTTGTTGCACAGCATAAGTAATAGCTCCATTGGGTAAACCGATTGCCAAAGGTTCAACATCTGTAACATTCTCCAGCAATTCCAATACCCCTGTCATGTGGCGTGATGCACCACTATCTATAAGCCAGTGACAATGGGAATCTTTACGATTTAATTTGTCCTTTGCCTTCGCCTTCGCCTTTTCTGGTTTCTTAACGGATCCATCTATGAATCCTATTTTATTTTTCGCTTTGAGGGCATTTTTCATGAGTTTTTCCCAATTCTCGTAGTTGGCTTCTCCTCTCAGCATAACGGTTGTTAAAAGAATCCCTGGGCTATCTGATCCAGTCAGATAGAATGGTGATCCAGGGTCTGATGGCTTCAACCTGCTGCTGTTTTCATTGGCCATCTTCAACAGAAGCTATCTCCTGCTTACTGTTTTCAGAGTCTACACGTTGCGGAAGTTTTTTTTTTTTTTTTTTAACAAGGGATCGCTCTGATACCATGATAAATGGTATCAATTGATAGTATTTCCATTGATTTAAAACTGTACATCAATGTATCTTAAATAGAATAGGCTGTTACGGCTGTTACCAAACAGTCTGTTACCAAATAGTAAAACAACTTTCTAAAGATAAGTAACTACACCTAATTACAATAGGACTCAGTTATACATATCCTAACAAACTACAGGTTACAACATATCACAGCAAATCATAACAACATATAAAATCTTCTATTCCAACGATTTCTTTCACCTTTATCATTCAATCAAGAGTCAAACTAAGACATTGAATTTTCAGTATGTGTATGATAACTTTTTTGAAACATGATCAACTTTATGTTTCTTCAGCGTACATTTATCTTGTAATTGTTTGTGAAAAGCAAGGTCCCAGTAAATTAATTAACAATAGTACCAAGGAAAAAGGACAACACTTTGAAAATCATATCCTATATGATGAGGAGGTGACTCTTTAACAACACGTTGATTTCATAAACAGACTATGCTTCGTGTCTCAACTCAACTACATGAACTCCACTAACGTCGTCTCTCTCAAGTCTCAAGCAGAGAACACGAGCCCAACACGAGCTTCGCTCCCTTGTGCAGACGTGGCGTTCCAACTGTTGTCTGATTTGGAGGCAATGTTGCCCTGTGGGCCCTACTCGTCTGATTTGGCAGTTTGCCTTAGGACGAAGATAGGAAGGGAATCGTGTCACACTCTTCTTAGCACGTGTTACTCACACGCTAGAACGGGTTTAGATATAAGATGTTGGAATCGGTGACAATTTATTTCGGTTGGAAAACTTTTGTTTAAAACTGCTGTTAACTTTTAATATTAACAGTGATTGAAGAGAAAAAAAGAATTGAAAGATAAATGAAAAAGTTATATTTATAAAAAAATTTAAAACATATTTATAAATGAATTTTTTTTATTTTCATAATATTTATAGTTATTCATTTCTTTAAAACATTTATACATTTTATTTTGGGAATACATTCTTTTGCAAGATGAAAATAAATTTATTTCCTACACTGCCATAAATATCGGTGAAGTCATGTAATATTTAGGATTTAGGATTAAGTTAAACGGAAATAGCGTAATGATATATTTTAAAGGGTTTGGTGTTTGTTATTTTAAATGACATAAGTTATGTCATTTTAATAGAGAGATAGACACAGAAAAAACAAAAATCATAGGAGAGAAAGTGAGTGATTTTTTTAATTTAAAATTCAAATTTTCTGTTTCTGTATCTCTATTAAAATGACATAACTTTCTGTCATTTAGAATGACAAACACTTTTTCCTATTTTAACTCAGGTTCATATGAATAAAAAAGAAGAAGCTCATAAGTATAATTTTTCATTAAAGTTTTTTTTTTGGTTAGTAAAAAGCTTAAGAGATTTTTTTTTTGGTAAACGAAGCTTAAGAGAAATTATTTAACATTCAACAGATATCGATGTATTCATAAATGAATTATAAATACATAATTTTTTTTTGTAAACATTATAAATATCATAATTAGTCTACCAATAAATATCATAATTTTTTTTTTGTAAACAGATATCGATGTATTTATAAATGAATTATAAATACATAATTAGGCTACCAATGAATATCATTAAATATTTTTAACTTAACTGCACTGGATATGTTAAAAGTAAGAAATAATACAGTAAAAAATTATTTTTTATCTTCAAATAATATAATCAATGGATAAAATATTTAAATTTCTATTATTAATTGATATAAGTCATAAAATATTGTTCATAGCACAAAAAGATAAAAAAATCAATTATTCAACCCTTTTGTTATCTTAATTTTAGTATGTACAAAACAATGCACCACGCAATATTATGCTAAACAATATTATAAAATATTTAATACAATACACCACTCACCAATAAGTTAACAAAAACAAAAACAAAAACATTATGTGATAAATTAATCTTAATATTGTTTGAGTTAATTTGAGCACTTAGATTCTGGAATTTGTAGGCAAAAGACTAATTTAAGAAAAAAATTATAAAATAATATAATATAATTTTTTTTATCAAAGTAATATTATTTGTTTTTCTTATTATGTGAGCCTTACAAATGTATTATGTGTCAGTCACATGTATGTGACATGTTTGTGCGATTTATACGGGAAAAAAAAATCAAAATATATAATTTTAATAATGAAAGAAAAACTAGATTATATTGGTGATTCACCATAGGTGAAAATGAAATTCTAATCAAAGCCTCCTTCGATCCCTCTCTCTTGTCAGTCAAAGCCTACCTCGTACAGCGACACAATAATATTTACTTCACCAGGTGCTCATCAATCTCCAATTATAATAAGAATATAATAATTAAAATGTAAGTTGGCAAGCTCTGTCGGATGAAAAATGGGAAATAATATATACACATGCTTAGAAAAAAATAATGTGAAATGGGTTTTAATCTTGCTCTAATGACTAAAAAAAGAGTAGAATCTTCTTTCTCTCTCTTTAGCCTCCCTTCGGTGAAAGTATCCGAGCAAGGCTATACTGCCTATACATATAAACAAGTAAAATAAAGATCAAATAAGAGTATTATCATTAATTTGACTATAATCCGAATAAAATTAAACTACTAAATCCAGAGTCCAGACCGAATCAAGTGCTTGTTCAATTTGAAAAACAGTGCTAATTACTGGTAATCCTCAATTCCAAAATGAGAGGATAAAAATGTCATTATATTGGTTACTAAACAAGTCAGCAGCAGTCCACCGGTCAAACAGGATAAGAAAGCGCAAATATAGAAAGTACATTTACAGAGATTCTCGTACATATTTAATAATTTCAAATGAGTATCTTAAACAGCCAAGAGCCCAAGACATTTTTATTGAAGAGTTTTATAAGATTTATGTTGTAGGAGAAGTGATTGTGTTATGTTATAGAGATTCGTTTTGTGTGTCATCGTTTTTTTTTAAAACATGCGGGTCCCACAAAATATTTTATGTGTAGAAAACTTTTTGTGGTCACGTTAAATGATAGAATGCAAACCTTTTATTGAATTCGACGTTAAGGGATTCATGTAATATCGTACTTAGCAAAAACGTATTAATAAAATGACAATGGATTTTTTTCTCCTTTATTTATTAATTAACATTTAAGATTTTTTTCTCCTTTATTTATTAATTAACATTTAAGATTTTTTTCAAGTGATATAAAAATATTCATTTCCAAAAATCACTATAGTTAACTTTTTTTGAGTAAACTGTCACACTTATTGAATGAGATTAATTTCTTCATAACTTGGAGCATAATAATTTTTATCACTAGCTTCAAAGTGTTTTTTTTTTTTAGGAATTGAACTTATGACTTCAATATTAATGATGAGTGATTTGGATAATTTATACGAGGATATGGATTTAAAACAAAAATATCAGTGTTGCTATTGTATATTAAAAAAAAAATCCATTTCCGGTATAACGACATCCAACCACCGAGAATACTTTTGAAAAATATATATAAACAATATGTTAATATTTAATTAGCTTAACATATTTAAATAAAGGTAAGAAATAAATTTATTTTTTACATATATAAAAATATGTGAAATTCATATTTTCTCTTTTTTTTTTCTTCTTCTCACATAAAGACAATTTCTTCTGTACATTGAATATATCCAATTGGGTACATTTTTTTCAAAAAGAAAAAGTTTTCTTCCTATTTAATCTATGTTTTTTATTAAGTATTTCCCATCAAATTCACATTCTTAATTTTTGGGGACAAATATATGATGTATCGGATACATCAAAAGAGTGAGCCTCACGTACTTTTCACACAAGCCCCACACATTTTTGTGCATGTAAGTGTTTCCACATGAATCTCACATACTCACCACACGTGTTCCACACACTTTTATATGTGTGTAAATATTTCGACATGAGCTCCACACACTTTCCACACAAACTTCACACACTTTTATGTGTATATAAATACTCTTACGTGAGCTCCATACACTTCCACAGTAGTCTCTCAGATTTTTTTAATATAGTCCAGAATCACCAGTATCCTTCTGCTAAAAAATTGATAGCCCTTTTTTTTTTTCTTGATTCTCTCTCCTCTCTTTCTCTCACCTCATTCTCACCAATTTTTTTTTCTCTTGAGTATAACTGTGGAGGGACATTTTGGGCATCCGACAGTCTTTTACTCTTTTTATAAGTACCCCTCATAGAGAATTTGTTAACCATGTTTTTGTCCAACTGTGTCACAACCTAAATTAGTCACGTACTACCCACTAACTGTGCTTATCGTTTTAACGCATCTTTCAGGCTTCAATGGTGCCCAATAATCACGCTCACAATAGTACGGACACCGAAAAGGCGGCGAACGGAGGACCTCCCGGCGGAGACAGATGTTCGGTGGAGGAGGTAGCTCTGGTGGTGCCGGAGACTGATGACCCATCACTACCAGTGATGACTTTCAGGGCATGGTTTCTGGGGATAACATCTTGCATCCTGCTCATCTTTCTTAACACCTTCTTCACATTCAGGACTCAGCCTCTCACCATCTCAGCCATTCTCATGCAAATCGGTGTTCTTCCCATAGGAAGGTTTATGGCTGCAACTCTTCCAAAAAAGGAGTACGATGTTCTTGGAAGGCGCTTCACCTTGAATCCAGGGCCTTTTAATATGAAGGAGCATGTCATCATCACCATCTTTGCAAACTGTGGTGTTTCCTTTGGAGGGGGTGATGCTTACTCCATTGGTGCCATTACTGTTATGAAAGCTTATTATAAACAGAGCTTGAGCTTCCTCTGTGGCCTCTTCATCGTCTTAACTACACAGGTTTGCTTACTATGCTCAAAAGTTTGCATCTTTGGATTTTGGGTCGTCTTTTGCATTTTATTCACTTTTTTTTTTTTTTAGTTATTATATAAATTTATTTATTTTTATTATTTGTAATTACTAGAAAATAAATGAAGTAAAGTTTTTTTTTTTTGTACATGAAGTAAAGGTTTTAGTTAGTTATTAATTTGTGTTTGGATAAAGATTTTTTCGGGGACGCAATTGCCAGGAATTTTTGTGTGTATGTTTCTTATTAAAAGGAAATCTGTCTTAGAGATCTGTGAAGGTTGAAGGTTCTCTCCAGCTGTACTTTATTTTCAATATTAAAATCTGTTTCGTCTGTATTTGTTTTGGTTGCAGTTAACTCTATCTTTAATTTATTGAATTTGCAATATAAAATTTTTCCTTCTTTATTTATTTGGAGCAAATATTGTGTGATAAATTTTTTTACTTAATTGTTCTAAATTGAGTTACAGATGTTGGGTTATGGATGGGCTGGGATTCTGAGGAGGTATCTGGTTGATCCCGTTGAAATGTGGTGGCCAGCAAACCTTGCTCAAGTGTCTCTCTTTAGGTTCATTCTTGCCTCTTTCTTCATATATTATGTTTTATTATTTTGAAACTGAATCATTAAAAGTCCTTTGGTAGTTGCTAATATTTTTATACAGTATACATTATTTACTCTGGTCTCTGTAGCCCTCGGTTTCAATTTAATTGTTTTAAAATCATTTCCTTTTACTGTGCAATTTTTGTAGAGTTTTTCCTCCTTTAACTGCGGTCCTCGGTTTTGCAAATTAGTGAATTCATATAAGCAATAGGAACTTTCCAATGAACTATTGTGCACATAGATATATTGTCTCACTAACGCTCACTTCAACTAAAGTCATAACAGATGCAGAACTTTACTTCTATACTTATTTTATAAACATAAAGGTGTTATTGCAAAAGAACTAATATGGAGTTAAATCCATAAAGATAAATCGAATCTAGTTTGTCATTGAATATTAATTCCTAGCTTGTAATTGGTAACACGAAAAGACATTTTGTTTAACATCAGTGCGCACAACCAGTATACCCAATTCACAGTTGTAAGAATGGTGCAAGCATGCCGCTTCACTTTTTTATGCAGTGGACTGAGCGCATCTTCATTGCTGAAAGGTTCATGTCATAGTTGTCTTGTTCGATTAGTGTAATATTCTCTTGACAAGAGAGCATAACATTGAAAGGGAAAAGGTCAAATAGAAGATATATTAATATTATGCTATCAATGTTTCATTGGCTACTATAGAATTGGCATATAGGCAACGATTTAGTATCTTCCCCAAAAGAACTCACGCAACAGCAAACACAATTTTTTTTGGAAAATTCTTCTATTTGCTTGTTTATTATATCCTCTAATGTTATTTTGATTACATCGGTTACCTTATGCTACAGGGCACTCCATGAAAAGGAGCACAAAACAAAAGGTCTTACAAGGATGCAGTTTTTCCTCATTGCCATGGGTCTAAGCTTCTTGTATTATGCACTCCCTGGCTATCTGTTCCCCATCTTAACATTCTTCTCTTGGGTCTGCTGGGCATGGCCAAATAATATCACAGCACACCAAGTCGGATCAGGTTATCATGGACTTGGGATTGGTGCCTTTACACTTGATTGGGCTGGGATTTCAGCTTATCATGGCAGCCCCCTTGTTACACCATGGTCTTCCATTGTTAATGTTGGGATTGGATTTATCATGTTCATCTACATACTTGTACCTGTATGTTACTGGAAGTTTAACACTTTTGATGCTAGGAAGTTTCCTATATTTTCCAATCAGTTGTTCACGACCAGTGGACAAAAGTATGACACTACCAAGATCTTAACCCCAGACTACGATCTTAATGTTGATGCATACAACAAATACGGCAAGTTATACCTCAGTCCTCTGTTTGCATTATCTATTGGATCAGGCTTTGCTAGATTTACGGCAACGCTCACTCATGTTGCACTCTTTCATGGCAGGTAGGATGCTAGCAAAGCCTTTATCATAATCTATATTAATGAATCACTTGAATATATGATCAGATTGATAGTAAGCAGTTTCTGCATTGAATTCTGAGTGATAGTTGTATATCTGAATGCATGATATGTTATATTTCTATATGTTAGATATGGAAATAGATCAGAAGATTTTGATACTACAGTGCTAGTATTTTTCTTCTTTATTATGTCCCTTCAAAGTTGAAAAATAATTTTCTCATCGAGTGCTTTAAGTTAAATCGCTGAAATACAGAGAGATTCATGTAAATTAAGTGCTCCGTGATGGGACATTTTTGGTTGACTCTGAAATTGTTTCCTTTTCGCAGAGACATATTGAGACAGAGCAGATCAGCAATGAATAATGCGAAATTGGATGTACACGGTAGACTCATGAAAGCTTATAAACAAGTACCAGAATGGTGGTTCCTCATTTTATTATTTGGGAGCATGGGGCTATCCCTGGTAATGGCTTTTGTGTGGAAAACGGATGTGCAACTGCCATGGTGGGGAATGATCTTTGCTTTTGGCTTAGCTTTTGTTGTTACCCTTCCAATTGGTGTCATTCAAGCCACTACCAACCAGGTACTCACTCCAATATCCTTACTGTCTCTAGTGTATCATTGTCCTCGATCATAACATGCTATTTTGATGCAAAGTGGGAAGCAATAGGAGTTTCAAATTTCAACATGAATTTTTCCTGTGGTTACCTTGCAGCAACCTGGATACGACATTATAGCACAGTTCATGATTGGGTATGTCCTTCCTGGAAAACCAATTGCAAACTTGCTCTTTAAAATATATGGGAGAATCAGCACCATCCATGCTCTCTCTTTCTTGTCAGATCTCAAACTTGGTCATTACATGAAAATTCCTCCACGATGCATGTATACCGCTCAGGTCTTTGCACCTTAACTTGAAAGTCTCCTAAATTAAGTCCTTTTTCTCATTACTTATTTTTGTCTTTTTTTTTGTTTTTGTTTTAATTTCTAAATAGCTGGTGGGAACTCTAGTTTCTGGTATAGTGAACCTTGCAGTGGCTTGGTGGATGTTGGATGGCATTAAGGACATTTGTATGGATGACAAAGCTCACCATGACAGTCCTTGGACTTGTCCCAAATACAGAGTTACATTTGATGCATCTGTTATATGGGGTCTGATTGGACCAAAGCGCCTATTTGGACCAGGTGGGTTGTACAGGAACATGGTATGGTTATTCCTCATTGGAGCTGTGTTGCCAGTTCCTGTCTGGGTATTGAGCAAGATGTTCCCAGACAAGAAATGGATTCCATTGATAAACATACCAGTTATATCTTATGGTTTTGCTGGAATGCCACCTGCAACTCCTACCAATATTGCAAGCTGGCTAGTCACTGGAATGATCTTCAATTACTTTGTGTTCCGTTTCCACAAACGTTGGTGGCAGAAATACAATTATGTTCTGTCAGCAGCACTGGATGCAGGCACAGCTTTTATGGGTGTTCTAATTTTCTTTGCACTGCAAAATACAGGCCATAATCTCAAATGGTGGGGAACTGAATTGGACCATTGCCCGTTGGCTACTTGCCCAACTGCACCAGGAATTGTGGTTGATGGTTGTCCAGTTTTCTAATAGAGAATCATAATAGGTTTATCTTTTCTTTTCTTTTTCTTTTTGCTTTTTGAAGGGGGGAAAAGGGTGTTTGGGAACTCAGTTAGGCTTCGAGTGAGTATAGGGTGAAGGGAATAACCAATTCTGTACATGGTTGCTTGTTACCTACGTCATATGCCTGATAACAGTTCATTGGTAACGGAACAAAGTATGACTACTACTCATGCTTAGTAGTGGCTCGGAATCTAATTCTAAAAAGAATAGACAGGATGCATGTAATCTCATGTAATGGACGTCTAACATTGGCGTCTCGGTGTATCTCTATTGGTTAAGAGCAGGGAATATTTAACAAGTCACCACTTGGCAACTTTCTTCCCTTCTCATCTCTACTTTTGAGGTGGCAACATAAGCAGAAACGCTATAACGTTAGTTTTTTCTTTGGGTTGAATAATACATTATCCTATCCTTGGAGTTCATCTGTGCTACTGTTTTATAAGCCATAAAAGTACGAGAATAGCTACTTAAGAAAGCTTTTATTTGCCAGAAGGGGCAATCACACTGTCATATATCAAATAAATCCCAACTTCAATTATATGGTACATATAGTCCACAATTTCAATAGGTTATACTTAGTCCACGACTTGCTTTAACTCATGTTTCATGCATATGACTTTATGTTAAAATCATTGTGCTTGAAGCCTATGATTTTACTTTAAATTTTATTTTATTTTATTTTTTAAAAAAACTTACTAAGTTATGCGTTACACTCAAATTCCTAAACTTATACCATTTTAAGAAATAAATATGATACCAAGTTAAGAATTTTGAATCGCAACTACATCACATGTGAAAAAGCCTGATTTTTTTTTTGTTTTGTCGTCATAACGAAAATCCTCAGCGTTTCATCAAATGCAAAACTTAAAGAACTAATTTAATCATACTCAAGATTTGGTACCACAAATATTTCACTTTGCAGGTCCTTAATTGTATCCCACATAAAAATTGGAAAAAATAAACCTAAATATTGGTAAAACCTGCATCGAACACTGATTAGGTAGAGAAAGGTGAAAACTACAGATGTGGATTCCCAATACCTGTGCAGGTCTGGTCAGCGGGAGACAGAAGAAATGAGCTGCACTGGATTTTTAAGGTTGTGTAATTAGTTTGTCTTTTATTTTCTTATTTATATGTTTTTACCAATGATTATAAAAAGGGAAATGCTTTTCTCCTTTCACATGAGACAAGATTTTATTCCTACACATACATCGACTTTCGTGCCAAGCTTTTGTTTTTGTTTTTACTTTTTTTTTAAATTGCTGGTCCCACTTTTTTGTCTCAGTAGGAGACAACTCTTCTCTACTGTTAAAGGAGAAAAATATTCCCCTTATAAAAATATCACATTGCTTTCAATGTTTTTTACTTTGTGATAGGATATTGTAACAATCAATTAGTGTTACTATTAATGTTACCACCAATCAATTTTACCGTTAGACCGATTATGTTGATCTAACGACTATATTTATTTTCATCTTTATATAATTATGATTTTCCATATTTAATGTGAGATGCAAAGGTGAAAATAAATATAAAGTATTAAATATGAGAAATAATAACCATACAAATATAGAAATAAATATAACCGTTGGATCAACATAATCGATCTAACGGTGAAATTGAGTGGTAATAACATTGTTAATAACACTAATTGATTGTTAGTTGTTACAATATCCTTCTCCTTCTACTTTTATGATTTTGTGAAGAAAATCGTTAATTCTAACATTTCTATTTACAAAATAATGAAAACAAGATAAAAACAAGATGGCATTTTTATAATTCTAAATAAAACCATATCAACTAAAAATAGAAATAAAAAACAACCAAACATATCCTAAATTGCGGAATTTACGTAAATCTATCTCTAACAAGTTTTAACAACACAATCTCAAGAAAAGGAGAGGATCCATGTCTAGAAACCACGCTTGAAGTTTCGACGGGGTTCTTCCAATTTTTATAATTTTCAGTGGCTATTTTCAAATTCCAAAATTATGAAATATAAAGCACCATAAAACGCATTTCATGACAGTTGCCCAGAAATTCTCTGATTGAAAATTTAGTCCAAAGAAAGAGGGTAGATAAAGAAAGCAGTAAGCATCCTTTCTTTCTTTTCTTTTCTTTTCATATTTAACCTTGTAATAAACAACCCCATAAACGCACGAGTTATGACAAACAACGCAGACTAACATAAATGCACATGTAAAACTATGTAGCCAATTTATTAAAAAAAATTAAAAAATTAAAAAAGCTCCATCATACCACCATAAGGTCAATTCACATGGAAATAAATCCCAAATATCTTGAATACATGCTCAAACCCGAAACAAAACCCCAAACCCAACCACCATTGAGCGCAAGAAAATTAGAAAATCAAAATAGGGAAGGGAAAAAAAAAAAGCAATCTGAGAGTATCTAAAAAAGAAAATGCACGTGGTAGATATGGGTTGCAAAATAGCTTAACCAACAAATTGCTCTTCCAACTATACATGATAAGAACACTTTTAGTAAATTATTTTTATCCTTATAATCACTCAATTAAAATTCCTAGAGAAAGCACCACCAAATATTTAAGAATTGGAACTAAATTGTCTGATAATTGGCCATTAAGCAATCGCATTATATGGTATACAATCTTAACTTTCGTGTAGTGACCGTTATGTAGCTTATCATTTCTCTCTCATAACTATATTACGTGAAGCTCTATTAACTATAATAGAAGGCGTTAAAAACTATGGTCCATGTCATTTATGTTTACGGTTTACCTCTGCAAAGATTTGTACAGCACCACAGTGACATATTTGGCGAGAAACCGATGAGTTGTACCAAGGGCAACCACTGAAGGACTGCTCTTTCCTTTCTGCATGTAAAGATGATTGAGCACTCCATGTTGAGGTCTTGGCATAGCAGGTATGATTTCCAAACTTGTTGCAGGCATATTTAGTAGTGTCATTTGCAAGTGTGGAGGAACTAATGTGGGCTCCTTTGCATAATCTTCAGAACTAAGTGGTAAGTTGTTATAACTCGTGTCTGGTGATTGAGGAGGTTCGAAACTAGAAATGCTTCCAATGTCTTCAGGGACATAATCCTACATATATTAAATAAAATCACTAGTCTTGATTTAGATGTCATTGGCTTGGAGCACTAAAAGAATGCAGACATTTAATTTTAATCATAGAGAATATTTTTACCACCCTTCTCCATTCCTCTGGCAAGAAAACGCAAGCTTTATTGACTCTCATTTATGGGATAGTAGAGTGCCATGAGAACATTTAAAAATATGTAGCTACATAAAAATGAAAAATAAAATAAAATGGATAACTATTCTACCACAACAATTGCAAAAATTAATCCATGCACATTAAGGGTGGATATTCAATAATCAAAGAAGATTTCCACAGCTACTTAGCTACAAAGTGAAGCAAGTACAAGACAAAGTGGCGTGTCACTAAAAGTAGTGTAGTCAAAGGCATTGCTGAGACAAGGCTAGAAGTAGAAGGGGTCAGTGCTTATTGGCACTTTAGGAGCACCTTTCTGAATAACGGGGAGGAAAAAAAAAAAACTCTGAAAGACCAGCCATGTAATTTGTCAAGTTTGATATTAAGGGGGTAAAACAGTTAGAATAGTAAAAGATGAACTATTTGTCAGACTTTAGGACTCTTACCAGCAAGCAGCTTAGGGCTTTGTAAATTGAACAACATAATCTTAAATTTTTACTATGAATGTATGCTTGAGTAGTTAATTTATAAGAGAATCAATGCAAAATAGTCAAATGTTTTCCTATTTTCTTTTTCTAAGGTTAAATTCTTTCTTTAGTAAGGTGTGTGCTTTTTGTTGCCTCTCGCTCCCCGCTCCCAGCACCTTTTTCCTTTAACTACCGTCTCTAACACAGACAAATATATTGTATAATTAACCAATTCTACTTTTATCCTAGCTAGAGAATACTGTTTGTGATGTAGCACCAAAATTTAAGTATTTAAATTATCTCTTCCTACCCCCCCCCCCCCCCCCCCCCCCCCCCCTCTCTCTCTCTCTCAAAGCTGAGTTTCCTTACCACCCAGAAAACTATGACCCAGTCATTCTCAACAGCACTTGAACCAAGAAAGATCAAAAGTCCAATTTGCAATGTGTTCCATGCCAGTACAGTGATTGTTATGTATATATGGAAAAATAAACAGGCATACCGAATCTAAAGCTTTGAAATTTCAGTTCAGTACTTTTATCCAAGATATTCAAACATTCTAATGACTCCAGTAGTTGTTGGGTTTGCTCTTTTACTAAAGCCCAAATGGGTTATTAGTATGAGAAGAGCCCAAGGAACCTAGAGCCCAATGAGCTAGGGTTTCTTGGAACCCATATAAATAGTACCTCTTAAGTCATCAGCCTAAAAAAGGTCTTCTTTGTGAGAAAGAGGCAAGCTCTGAATCTAATCAGTGCCCACACACTTCCCCTTCCTCCTCGAGAGATAGTTTGGAAGATCTGCCACAGTCCAGCTACAAGGAGGTTGTTCGTGCTGCGGCGCTGAGGTGAGCTGTTCGTGAAGAGGAATCCTACAAGGAAAGATTCTACACGAGACCTGCGCACCGAGAGGTAATTGTGAAACAAGGATGATTCGGTAAGCATACCAATGTACTAGGTCCTAAACCGCTTCCGCATAAATCTAAGATTTCCTACAATTGGTATCAGAGCCTTGGCTGTACATTGGTATGTGAATCTAGTTTCACTATTCATGTAATTAGTTTTGCTTCTTGAAATGTGGCACCTAGGGTTCTAGGATTATGGTATGAATCTAGCATGTGCATTTTATAATTCATTTTCATAAAAGTTTAAATTTTAATCGATAAAAATGCTTTAATCCATGGTTAGGGTCTCTCGTGTATTTCTCGATTTGTAACAAGGAGGCTAATCCCATATGATTAGGTTTCCTCCTTGCTGTTTTTATTTATTTTCGGAATTTCTGTGTATTTTTCCAATATTTTGTAAAAGTTCAAGATCGAGAAACCGCGAGTAAGATGCGCAGTCAGTACTGTCGGAGACTTTTAGAGGACTTCCCGATCTCGGAATGGGGCGATCTATATATGGTTGGAAAGATGACGGAAAGACGAACGCAACGGTGGGTGGATCGTCGCCATCGGAGCCTTCACGCGCCTCCACGCGCCTCCACAAGGGTATGAGAGTGGCCGCCACTCTCCGGAAAAGAATGGGAGAGTGAGGGAGCGTCCGGCCACCTTTTTGGGTGATTCCGGCGGCGGTGCACTCGTCTCTACGTGGCGGTCCTTCCCCTGGAGTTTCAGCTTGATTTGACTTCGGGTGACGGCGCGGCAGACCTGACGGCTAGGGTTTCTCTTTCGCGTCCTAGGGTTTCTCGCCAAAGGATTGGGTCTTTGGACTTTTGGGCCCATGAAACCCTAAAGGGGCTTGAGACAGATACTATGGGCTAGGCGAAAGTCGAATTCCAAAGTTGTATTATTTAATTTAATTTTATTTTATTTTCTTTAAAATAGGAAGGCCATGGATTAAAGTAATTATGATTTATTATTTAATGCTTTTATTGATTGGTATAAATTATATGATTGATAACATGCTTTATTGCGATAACATGCCATATAGAATAAGTGGTGTCATATTATTGCATAACTTGTATGATTGCATGAGCATAATAGCTATTATGTCTTCAACGAGTAGTATGATAGTTATTATGAGATTATTTAGATTTTAAATCATCCTAAGAAATTAATTAATAATTATTATGATTTTTATTAAAAATCTAGATTAATAATTGAATTAATTAATTTTGGATAATTAACATCAAGACAAATAATCGTTATGGAAATTATTTTGATTTCAAATTATCCTCATAAATGATAATTATTATGATTGTTGCAATCTAGATTAATAATTAAGTCAGCTATTTGGATGATTTAAATCTAGAAAAATAATTAGAGAAAATTTCCTAAGAGAATTCTTTTATTTTGCGAGTAATTTGTGGGTTTTCTGAAATGGTCATAGAATAACACACGCTGCATACAACCTTCATGTATCATGATTGTTTGGAGCACACGCTGACGTAAAGTGACCGGATTTCAGGACCTTAATGCTTTCAAAATTATGTTAAGCTTAGTGCACGTTTATCGGCGCTCTTACTTATATAGTTTTTGAAATCGAACAAAGGATACTCTCAATTAAATAATTCTTGGAAATTAGAAAATGTTGCTTATGTTGAATGGAAGGAGATTTAAATTAAGAGATTAATTTAACCTTCAAGCGCATTATAGGACCATTAATAAAATAATCATGTGAAGTCCCATCGAATAAGCATGATTGGATTTTATTAGATTGGACTTAAATATCTATGGGAGGAGACTTAAATTAAGAAATTAATTTATCCTCCAGGTGCATTGTGGGTCTATCAATAAAATAATCATGTAAGGCCCCAACGGATAAGGATGGTTGGATTTTATTGGGCCTTAATAATTTCAAAATTTTAATAAAGTATTGTACGGCCCATCGTCGATAATACTAAGTTATTAAAGATAATTTTGAAATTAAACAATGAATTCGACTGGGCTTATGAAAATTCTCAAACAAAAATGTTGAATGGGTGAAGGTTTTAAAAATTAATTAATTTTAAAACCTGCGGGCTCCATTTGTGGGTTTATTAGTGAAATGGTTATCGCTGAAGCCCCATCGGATAAGGATAATCAGATTTCACTAAATTAAATCTTAATAATTTCAAAATTTTAGTAAAGTATTGTACGACCCATCGTCGACAATGCTTAGACACTAAGGATAATTTTGAAATTAAACAATGGTTAATTACATTCAACTTTGGTAAAATTGTTAACCCTCCCATCGAGGCTCTGGCAATGGCACTGAAGGCCCAAATAACAATTTTGGTTTTTACAAGTGACTTGCCCATCGTAAGCCTTGTAAAGATAAACTGAAGGATTGTTAACAATAAACAAGAGTAGTTATGAGAATCTACTTGCACTTCGTTTGTTTATTGCATTATTTGTTTGTAATTGTGTGCTTTATATGTTTTTTTTTTTTGATATTGTTCTAAAACATGGAAGCTAAAATTTGTCCTGACAATGCTAGGGCCATAGCAACCTGCAGAGGATGCGTCTAAGGAAACTAAGATGCATTTCTCAGATTAGGAAATGACAAATATGGTAGTTCGCTGCTATATTATTGTCAGTCTTTCCAAATACTTGCAGAAGCCAGTGTACATGATTAAGAGTGGAGTAAAAATGCTTCAGACTCTTAATGACATGTTTGCTGCGTCTAGCAGCTCTGCTAGACAGAATGCAGTCGGTGCAGGTTTTGCTAAGAGTCTTGTTAAATCCAAAGGGAAACCCAAGGGTGGTAACAAGAACAAAATGACTTGGTTATCAGTTGTCAAACCAGTTGCTATGAAGAAGCCGCAAGGCAAGTTCTTCAAGTACAGACTAAAGGGACACTAAAAGAAAAATTGCCCAGAGGTGATGAAAAGAACCAGACATGGGCATATCAAGGCCTGATCAGTGAATGAATTATTGATTCAGGAATCACTGATTATGTTTGTTACTCTTTGTAGTAGTTCAAACATGGCATACCTGTCAGCAATGGACATAGATATTTTAAGCTTGAAAATGGGAACTTGTGTCTGCATTTGCAGTAAGACAAGTTATTTATAAGACTATGGTTTTGGGTGACTGTTTATTTGTTCCAGATTTCAAGAGGAATTCAATTTTTGTTAGTTGTTTTGGTTAAAACATGGGTTGACAATGCAATTGATTCCTCAGTTACATTTCGAAGTTCATCTTCGTCTTGTTTGTTCTGGTACATTGTTTAAATAGTCTTTATTATCTATGTCCTATAACCTTTTTAAATTTGTTATGATGAATGGAAAGGATGATGAACAAGGATTTTCACCAAAGAAATAAAAGTTTCAAATGAAACATAACTTTGGCCTTTGTGATTGAGTCACATTATCTCAAGTAGAAAATATGTTTTAGTTAAAAGAGATACTGAAAGTTCAAGAATCTTTTAACTAACAGCTACATGTTAGTCCTATTTGGAAGGTAAAGTGGCCAAGCAATCCTACAAGGGCCAAAAAGGTTTGCGCAACTATTCAACTGGAACTGGTACATACTAATGTATGTGGACCAATTAGCGTTCAGACCAGAAGAGGTGATGAGTACTTCATTATATGAATGTTTACTCTGGATTTGGACAGATGAACCAAGTGCGCCATAAGTCTAAAGCTTTTGGAAATTCCAAGAGGTTTAGTCTGAGGCAGAAAAGCATGTAGGTGTTCAAATCAAAAACCACTTTGGTCTACTAAAGTGTTTGGCTACCTGTCTGGTAATTTCAGGTCTTACCTGATTTAAGAGGGGATAGTTTTCGTAACTGTCAACTCTAAGAACGCATTAGTTGAATGAAGTTGCAGTATGCAAAAATCAAACATTTCTAGACTTGGAGAAGATCATGTTCAGTTATTCATCTTTGTCAATGTTGTTCAAGGGAGATGCCTAAGAGAAGGAAATGTACCTTTTTAACTTGGTTCCGTCAAAGTTTGTTGTAAAGACACCTAAAGAATTATGGAAGGGGTGCAAGCCCAGATGAAACCATATTCGAATTTAGGGTGCTACGACACACGTCCTACAACAGCAGTCAAATGAGATGGAATCTTGTATGGAAGTGTGCATATCTTTTGGCTACCCTAAGAGAACTAGGGATGATTTCTTATTTAGTCTTAAGGACAAGATAATCTAAGTAAGCACTCACATGATTTTCTTAAAGGAGGACTAGATAAGAAATTATAAGCTCTTAAGTTAGGTTATTCTTGATGAGATTTATCTCAGATCAAGAATTTCCAGAATCTCTAGAAGCTTCATCCATTGTTCCCTTGATTGTTCAATAGGGGATAGATATATCTCTAAGTGAACAAACAAGAGAACCATGATTGGAAATTCAACATGATAATATATAAGTGAAACTAGTAGAAATATTAGTATCACATGTAAAGGAACAATATCAAGGATAAGCGGATCCTCAAGAAATTGAAGATCCATCATTTGACCCACTCTTTGTTTTACCTATAAATACACAAGGTCTAGTGCAATACATTCGTAGTGGGAGAGAACCTTGTTAACTCTCAAGTTGTCTCTTGTTGAGTGATATTTATCCTACTAGTTACGATAATGCACTAGAAGATGTTGTTGATCAAGTGTTGCTCAGGCTATGAACAATGAGTTGAAATACTTGTATTTCAACTCCGTTCGGTCCTAGTAAAGACACCAAGAGGGGTAAAACCCACAAGGTGCATGTGGACATAAAAGACAAAGAGAGGATGGACAGAAAGGTGAAAACCTTCAAAGCTAGCTTGGAGGCATTTTTTGCCAGACGCCATGCTTGAGTCTATCCAGATTCTCTTAATTGCTATAAGTCTCAATTATGAGATTTCATTTTGGGAGTTGGATGTCAGGATATCTACATACAACAACCAAAAGGGTTTATAGCAAATGAGTAGGAACACACGGTATGCAAGTTGTGAAAGTCTATTTCATAGACTTAAGCAAGCATCCAGGTCTTGAAACATCAGTTTTGATCAGGTTATCAAAATTTTGATTTTGAGAGAACCTTGATGAATGATGTGTATTTGTATGTAAAGGATACAACGGAAGACAGTAGCTTTTCTGGTACTTTATGTATATGATATGCTCCTTATTAGAAACAATGTGGAGGTAATATCAAACATAAAGAGTTGGCTAAGTTAGTGTTTTGGTATGGAAGTACTGGGGAAGCCAATTATATTCTTGGTATAAAACTCTTATGAGACCAGAAGAATAAGTTGTTGGCATCACCTCAGGCTACTTACATTGACAAAACCCAAAATTCAACATGAGAATTCTAAGAGAAGAATTATAATTCTCAGATGTGGAATCCATCTTCCTAAGGAGTGACCAAAGACTTCTAAGAAGGAAGAATGCATGAGCAAGATATCTTATGCTTTGGCAAAGGTAGACTCACGCATATCATGTTGGGCGTTAAACCAGACATCTGTCACGTAGTGGGAGTAGTGAGATAGTACCATTTTGAACCTAGAGAAATACTAGATTATTGTTAAGCATGTACTCAAGTATCTTTGGAGAACGAGAGATCATATGCTGGTATATTCTAGTGGGAGTCTTGAAAAGCTGAGTTTTCAAAAATTCAGTTATTTCAAGTGGATATTGACTCAAGAAAATCAACCTCGAGCTATGAGTTTTTCACTAAACTCAGATAGCATTAGAGGTGGATCTTGCAGACCCAGTTACTAAGAGTTTGCCTGAACTTGTGTTCGAGAGGCATGTTACTTCTTTGGGTCTAAGGAGGATCCCAGACTTGCATTAAGCAAGTGAGAGTTATTGGTTTCATTGTGCTCTTGGAGTAAGACGATGAAACAATAGAATAATTTTCTGAATTTCATAAATAAGATTTTATTTATTTATTTTGCGCACTATTTACAAACATAAAGGTCCGGATCAAATTGTGGAGTATATGATCATATGGATACGTTCATAGAGGACATGATCATAGGATCTCACAATTGATGAATGGATTCACAGCTGTTAAATAAAGTTGGGCACTTTATTTAGGCTGCAATATTTTATGAAATGGTTTTGTCTGAATCATTGTAAAATATTGGTGTGAGTTAACATTCACATCGAAAGGATCAAGGAGAGATTTGATTAAGGTTGTTTTTCTGTCATAAGGTATCAAATCTCTAGTTAACTATAGTTATGTAATTGCTCTTAATCCTGAGTTTATTATAAATAGGTAATCAAATAGTTTTCATTCTTTGATTTACCAACGGGTGAGGTTCGATCTATTGACGGCCAATAACTCGGTATTTTGGGAGTGAGATTATTTGATTATCGGTATTTATGAGATAAACAACATGGAATTTGTAGGATATGTCCCCTTGATATGTTTCGGTACTTGGATATTAAAGACACTGGCCAGTGCATGTAATCCATTAGAGAAACTATCATAGTCAATGGAATAAATAATTGATTGAGTTACAGAAAACTTGTCAATCAATTATAGACATTCTACAAAGGGGCGATGCATATTCATGTTATAAGTGTTGTTAATCTTGGAGTTCAAGTTCGGGCTTTTAGTGGAGTAGCACCGAATTAGATAATCATTCGTTGATTATCAAGAGCCTTGATTAATAACAGATGGTAGATCCCCAAGCTAGCTTGAGACAAGGGATGGGGTATTTTTCGGATAGATGATGACTTATGGGTTACATGATCTTGGGTTTTACGACTCAAGTTTGTATCCAAAAGAGCAAGTGGGAGATTGTTGGGTTTGCTCTTTTACTAAAGCCCAAATGGGTTATTAGTATGAGAAGAGCCCAAGGAACCTAGAGCCCAATGAGCTAGGGTTTCTTGGAACCCATATAAATAGTACCTCTTAAGTCATCAGCCTAAAAAAGGTCTTCTTTGTGAGAAAGAGGCAAGCTCTGAATCTAATCAGTGCCCACACACTTCCCCTTCCTCCTCGAGAGATAGTTTGGAAGATCTGCCACAGTCCAGCTACAAGGAGGTTGTTCGTGCTGCGGCGCTGAGGTGAGCTGTTCGTGAAGAGGAATCCTACAAGGAAAGATTCTACACGAGACCTGCGCACCGAGAGGTAATTGTGAAACAAGGACGATTCGGTAAGCATACCAATGTACTAGGTCCTAAACCGCTTCCGCATAAATCTAAGATTTCCTACAGTAGTCTGCCTATGTTTACAAGAAAAGAAAATTCAAAGCTTTGTGCCTTTTAAGCAACATCCGACACAAAGAGTAACAATAATTTCATCTATTAGTATAAAGAAGCATCACCAAGCAGTGCTACCATCAAGAATAAGCAGCAAAATACAAGTTATCATCTCACCAGCACAGCTGATACTTCCTTTCACAAGTCAAAATGAATGAAAAATATTCATATGTGACTACAGATATGAGAAAGCATTGGTTGAATATCTTGGGACACGTTGAAAAGTATGTTTCTGAAATGAGTTTGGGATCATATGCATCTGAAACAAAATTCTTGCAAGAAGATGAGGGATACTTGGTCAAAGAGTGTGAAGTAAGTTAAAAATAAAAGACATCCACCGAGAAAATTCCATGGTAGGGGCAAATTAGACATAAAAAGAGTACCAGCTCCAACAAAAAAAGTGAAAATTAACAAATGCTTCATACTCATAAAGGAGAGAAAAGTGCACTCAAACGGAAGTTGCTGAAGAATAACAAGGCTGGCCCTTTACAATTTAATCACACAGGGTTCATTTTGTGCACTAGTCATTTGGTATATCTTGGACTTACTGAAAAAATTATCATGTTGTTCATTTAATGCTCTGCAACACAAATTTGATATCAAAAGCATCATCCTTTTCTTAACATGAAAATAATTCATCAGATTAATATGCATGCAATGATTGTCACATATTGATTTTGTTTGCATGCTAAATATGTCAATACTACCTGTAAGTCCAAGATGTTGTAAGCATTCTCAGCATCATCTTTGGCCCATGGCAAGTCTGGAGTGTACCTCCACCGTCCATCCACAATAAATCTGTACTGGTAAACACCAGACGGCAGTACCTTCATTAATGTGAAGTCTTTCCCTGATCTCTGCAGGGGCATTCTGATGAACAAGGAATAATAGAATTTAAATAAACAGCCATTGAAGACAAATAAAGATGATGCTAGAGTTTCCAAACCTTGTTTTCCAATTATCCCATGATCCCTCCACAGCTACTTCTTTTCCATCATAACTCCAAGTAATCATTGTTGGAATTCCTAGTTCACTGTACATATCTTCATACCCTAAAGTCGTTTGCATGCAGGAATGATTTGGAACATGCATCTCATACGGTCTTTGTAGAGGAATCACTGGGACCTATAGGGGGGGGGGGGGGGGGGGGGGGGGGGGGGGGGGGGGGGGGGGGGGGGGGGGGGGGGAATCATTGACAACTGATGAAAACAGAAATTCCAAAGAACAAAGTTCAGAACCAGGTTTAATAGAGCTTCTAAATTACAGTCAATAAAAATTGTGAAGCTCAAATGTCCAAAGCAGTACGGCACACAGCATACAGTGATAAGGTAAGCATGTTATGTGTTTCAATGATCCAATTACCAAAAACCAAAACCACAAGGTGAAAGCATGGACGGGAGGGAAAAACACACACACACACAGACACAAAACAAACGAGCTTTAAAACTTGATTATCCACGTTGGGGATTTGCATCAAACAGATAGTGTGCGGCAGGAGTAGTTTTTGTCCCCAAAAACAAAACGAGTGCGAAATTGTCAAGACTCGTGGAACCAAAAAACTGAATAAAAACCTGTGTGAATTGCTTGTTTGGAAAGGCATTAAGTGGAAGAGATAGAAAAAGGGAAGTTACTTGAGGAGTGAAGATGAATGGAGAATGGGTAGCCGTAGGGCTGGTAGGGGGAGACTGACCCATCGGGGGCACAGTTGCACAACCTTCTTGTTCTTCTTCTTCTGAAGGATTTCCATTCACATTCCCCATCGTTTCATAAAGAAAACGAACCTTGTCTTTGTCTTTGTGTTTAATAAGAATAAGAATACAAATTGAGTAGATACAACTTTAAGAATAAGAAGCACTCAAGGAGCGGGAGCAGGTAACCATAATTGTAATTATAAATATATAATAATACTTTCCGACGAGTTTGGAGGATATTAGATTTAGGGATGAGCATACATATCATCATCATGTTGCTTTTCTGAGCATACATATCATCATCATCATGTTGCTTCTCTGTTATTATTTCATGACCATAATATGCATATGTCATAATTCCCAGTATCCCTTTCTTCCAATTCCCATCTTCTCCATCCTTTTCCTTCACATCACACACACCTCTTTCCCAATCTTTTTTTTTTTCGAAAATCATAAATTATTCTACCTATTATTTATTCTGTTTATCTTTATTTATTATCCTTTAATACTATTTGATCATAATTTCAATTACATTTTTTATTTCTCTTTTTTGTTAAAATTTTGATCTACTGATATTGAAGAATAGTAAATAAAAGTAAGTATAAAAAAATAATAGATAAAATAATTTATCATTTTAATAAAAAAATTTATATTTTCTTTCCTCGACACTACTTCTTTATTTGTCATTCTAATTTTACGAAGGAGAAAAATAAAATAAAAAACTACCAAATTTAACTTAAAATACAGTTGTTTCAATGACACAAAATTGTGTCCATGACAAATGTTTTCCCTTGATTCACATTTTCATTACCCTCCTAAAATTTTCTTTTCTACTTTCTGTTTTTATTTTCTATTTTTTTTTCTATGTACTACTGTCATTGTATAAGTTTCTTCTAACAAAACTCTTTTAAAAATCATGTTAAATTTAAAAGGGTAAATTTGACAAAAAAGAAGAAGGTGAAATCCTTTTATTAAACATTTGAACTTAAATGGTCACGTCCTTTCTCATAAGATTTTCCCCCCGCACTTGCTTTGGAGTTCATTATGTCTGATTATGTTACATTTTTACGAGAATCTATTTATGATATATTTAATAGATGGGAAAATATTTTCTGCATCTTTTTATGTCACAGAGAAAAAAAAAAGGAGAAAGAGAAAGTTAAAACTGATAGATCCCATCCCTTTTTCTCTAGGTGGCAGATAAAAAATTTCTGCCATAGATGTAGAAAATATTTTCCGTTAATTGGATTGATAATTTTTAATTTGATATAATTATTTAAAATAACTAGTTATGATTGATATAAAAAAGATAAGTGACATTCTTAATGAGATCAAGTTTTTACAATATTATAAAGGGGTTTACTTCCATCATGTTACTCATGAGTTTGGTGGTGCCCACAATTTTTTTTATTTTTTATTTTGAAAAAGAAGGGCTAAAAAATCGAAGTATCAGTAGGAAAATGATTTTCTTTTCCTGTGACATAACATATACATTTCTCTATTATAAAATAGAAATAACGTATTATATATTTTTAAAACGTAAAACAATTAGCATGTGACAATGTTCAAAGTGGTTTAAGGCCCCAAAATTTGTGACTCCCTCGTCGCAGTACAGCCACATTCATGTAAAACCTCTCAATCAGCAAGAACTTCAACGTCTTCCCTACCTTCACTCCCTAGTATTTTATTCTCTGTTATTCTCATAAGAACTAAATTCCTCGTGTCAAATAATAATCGATAATCCCCAAGCAATAGATAATATAATACATATTATATGCCATGCAATGATTATAAGACTAAAACCAGACGTTATACTTTTACTTTAGTAGGAAATGTTGTAGAGTTGTTATGCACATCTGACTTATTTTCAAAATGGACAACAGGTAGAAATTTGATAAATTCACACTAAATAAGGAACAGAATAACTCGGGAATAGATCCTCTCATATAAAAAAATAGTCATGTGGTCATGTTATTTGATCACAATCACTCATTTAAATATTATACATTTTTTTTTCTCTTATCTCATCATAAGTAAGTGATTATGATCAAATAACATGACTACTTTCTCACCAGTGGCATAGCCACATTATATTTAGGTAGGGTCGGGGCCTCGGCTACATTTCCATAAATTTTATTTGTTATAGGGTTCATTTTTTCTGCAATTACTCCAGATAACTTATCTGCAGTAAACCAATACGACGTCGTTTTGGGACAAAAATCATGGTGTTTTTGTAATTTTAATTTATTTCAGGATTATAATAGTCTTTATATTCATAATTTTTTAAAATTTCAATACCAAAACGACGTCGTTTTGAGAATAAATGCAGATAACTTATCTACATTAACTGCAGAAATATTTTTCCCTTTGTTATATATAATTATATAAGTATTTATAATTGGACCCTAACTAAAATTGTAAGTTGGCCCTAGCTAAAATTGTAACAATGATAACCGACGAAGATTTGGAACTACTTTGCTTGTACGATCATATAACAAATTGCTTTCTTTCTAATTTCTTCTTCTTCTTCTTTCATCTTTTTTCAATTAGGGTTTTCTTCTAACTTTTTTTTTTCTTATTCGCACTCACCACCCAGAACCCAATCATTCTGTGGTACACAATGTTTTGTTCCTTACACAAGATTTTAGGTATACATATTCTTGGAATATGTATTGGTAATTATATTGTCCGCTCAGAGAAATTCTTTATTTTTGCTGACCATAATTATTTATTGGGTATTTTTTTTTTGATAACAACATAAGAGAAATTCATTCTCCTTTTTTTTATTTATAACTTTTTTTTTGTGCGATTGTATTTATTGATTTTATTTCTTTTGAAAAATGGAGTGCTGTTTTACATTTACTTTTTTTAAAAAAAATTATTTTAATGTATAGTTACACTTGCTATTGGTAATGAAATTGAATTGTTTATTGGTGTTATTTGTATTTGATTTCACAACAGGAATGAGAATTTTGACGATTAATCAATGAAAATTGTTAAAGAGAAAAATCAATGAAGATATATGTATATGTATATATATGGAGTATGAAAATTTCTTCTTGTACATATTCATTAACAACTTCTTTGTTTTTTTTGTATTTTTAAAATATCTAAACACTGATTAAATGATTTATCTAGATCCAATGTCATTTAAATGATTGTAGACATTTGTTGCTGATTGTTCCATAGTTCTTTTTAATTGTGAAGTTTGTTGTCCCTTTACATTGATGTTCTTCCCAAGTCACGACTAATGGGATAAATGGGCCAAGTTAGACCAGGCTTTGACTTTGATAGCCTAAGCCTATGTAAAATATTTAGAACCTATACTGGCCTATTAGCCTATTAAAGACTTGATTTATAGGTCTGGCCTGACCTATTATAAAAAACTAAAAACTAAATAAATTTGGTAAGCAAAAACTAAAAAACTTAATTCGACTTGTAAGGCCTACCGAGTTACAAACTAAAGTTTATAGGCCCAAACCAAATTAAAATATAAAAGATAAAAAAAATTATTCACAAAGATCACATGAAATAAATTTTCATTAATATCATACGAAATAAATTTTCATTAACATCATATTAAATAAATTTTCATTAACATCACATGAAATAATGTTCATAAAGATCACATGAAAATTTTATATATGTATATATATATATAATTTGCACTTTCTTTACTAATTTAAGTTTATATTATATTTTAAATTTTAAATAAATATTTATTATTTGTTAAAATAACATCAATCCTATTATTTTAAAAATTTTAAGTAAATTTTTTTCATAATAGATTTGTATAATTACGAAAATATTTTGATAATTTAATATGTCAAATTTTTTAGTCCTGACTAAAATTAAACCGCCACTGTTTTTTCACGTAAAAAAATCTATTCCTGAATAAATCAGCTTAAAAAAGAAAGAAACAAAAACTCTCAAGGAAAAAGGTCTCTATGAGTTATGACCTATTCTTCTAAGCTTTGTTTTTTGACTTGTTAATCTAGACAAGAATAGATAGGTATACATAGATAGAGGGCCATGCTGTATCCACTCATCCACGATCGAGGCCTAGTCCACTGGGTCCATAGCACGATAACTCATGCTATATTGGGCTATGCATAATCGTCCTTCCTATCAAGAGCATAAGATTTAGTCACAAGTCACAACACACAAGAAGAGAAGGGGTGTTTCTTGTTTCATCTTTCAATTTCAAAGAAGCATTCGACTCTCTGTTAAGCAAAACATCAAACAGGTAGCCGACCAACCCATTCGTGGTCATATCTGAACAAATCCCAGTCACTTGTCCATTTCTTTCTTTGCGTCCTCCTTTACTTTTTGAGCTATTTAATGTTTTGAGTAGCTTTTCTGGTTTTGGCCAAATACTGTTTCAATTGCCCACTGCTCCTGACTTCTGGGACATTAGTTTTTGATTCCTGGTTTTGTTCTTGTTGGAATTAATACTCACTGATTATGCCTACATCAACATGACATCACATTATAGGTTCATGTCTAGAATTTATTTTAATCTCTCTAGTTGAAGAAATAAGTTCACAACACGGCATGCTAGGGAGAATCAACCATAATGAGGCATAGCCATATTATATCCCCTGGAAATTCGTGTTCTGCTTCTGGGAGAGAAATGGAAGAAAACTGCTACATAAACTCTTAGGTATACAAAAAAACACAACTAGTGTGCACATCCATTGAATTGTATGTGGAATTGCAGGGAGGGAAACGTGTCTTCTGACCCTGACTCTGACCCCTGACTGACAGTACACTGCATGATTCTAGGTATAAATCCAATAGTATAGAAAGGGATGTGACTTTTTTTGTGTGTATAGAGTTACATACTCAAATTAGCAATAAAAGAAAATGCTCAAATCTTGTAAGGTCTGTTGCTTGCATTGAGTTACCTCTCTAGTGATCAAGGAGTTTGTTGGAAGTTTTTCTATTTTCCTTGATCGAATGTAATACAATTCCTGTTGCCAAGGAACAAGTACCATTCTTTGACTAAATTGCTAGAAGACAAAAATGTCTATATAATCTTTAGGTTCTTTCTAGTGATATCTTGTATGACAAGAGATAAAGTAGTATAGGCATTTGAGACCTTTCTAGTCTCAATTATTTCTGCTGATATATTGAGCTACAATCTTTACTGCTCATAAACCTATTGCTTAAATATATAATTTTTGTTGTACAGTCAAGTTCTGTTCCTAAGATTTTCATCTTTCCTTGTATTTGCTTATTTATTGATTTTGAAGGGCACTTAAGTTTTTGTTCAATGCAAAGCTTATATGATTAAAATGTTTCCTTAGCTTAAATTATTTTGTAACTGATTGTGTGAAAGTATCTATGCACTGTTTTGAATGAGGGAAAGGAGGAAAAATCCTTTATTATTGGCACTTTTACTCTTTGATCATACCTAGTATCTTTTCAAACTAACTGGCTTACAGCACTTTGAAATAGTGCTTCGATCATTTGCAGATTTCTCAAATATGCAAAGCATAAAGAACTCTATATTGAGTCATGTGAATTTGAGAAGGTCGACTGAAAGATGGTTTTTTGCCAGGGATGAGAATGCGTTTGTGCATTTGAGATGTTGGTGCTCTTTAACCGGTGCCAGCTCTGATGTGATACTGAACCGAGTAATTGGTCTGGTAAAAAAGAATGATAAAATTGATGCCACAAAGGTATTGAAGTTATGGTCAAAATTTAACTTACTTTTTTATATGACTATATTTTAGTGCTGGCTAGTCAGTGTATGTGTTTTTACTATTAAAATGTGAAAACTAAATATTGCTAGAGTATCTTTTTTATCGAAGGACAACATTGTAGGAAACTTATGTTTCTCTGTGCAGGTTACTGAAGCTGCTGATTTTCAAAGAGACTTGAGCCTGGACAGCTTGGATAGGGTGGAGCTTATTATGGTTCTTGAAGAAGAATTTTCCATCGAAATCCCTGATGAGAAAGCAGATAAGCTTACTTGCTGTGCAGATGTTGCAAAATACATAGCCTCCGGAGCTGACCAGAAAATTTTGGGCAAGCACTGACTTCTCATGTTGTTATGTTATTCTAAGGTTGTGGCATACAAGATTTGTGTGGTTGAGCCATATGGATCTCTGCTTAGTCAGCTTGGTTGCAAATATGAATGTTAGTTGATCCACATGTTGCAAATATTATAATAATAGGAATGTTAGACACATTTAGTTAATTATTGGTTCCAAGGTCCTCATGTTTGGATATTGCACGTGGAAATGGCCGGTTTGAAGAATATCTCGTAATTGGTCCATACCAAATTCTTATATATTATATTCGTGTGCATGATAATCTTCGCTGAACACTTTTAGGATCATTCTTAGTTCTCTGTATGACCAAATACTAGTGGTCGTTAAACACATATCTAACAATCTCACGCAACTCTCAAATTTCACACATGTATATTTTACAAACTGACGGGTGCTACATATATTGTGTGTAATATGTACTGCTAGATGTTTAAAACCCATGCAACCCAACACTGCGACTAAAGCGCCATCCAAGTGAGCCATGGTGCTGTTACTAATATTTAAGCACTTTGTTTCGAATCGCTTTGTCTCTACTCCTTTCCCCCATGTATGCTTGGTGCGTGCAGTGGCTCGGAAGTTGAATGCTGCATCCTTATATTTCCGGCATTGTAGGTGCGGATGCCATTCCCAAATGAAGAAAGCTCAAGTCCCTTGTATTTCTTGACATGAGCTGGCCGACAAAGTGATCCCTTTGGAATACGATGAACTTTTACTGCACATATCTTTTCCAAGTTAGGAATAGCATGAAGGTAAGAAGGGAGGTCCACCATAAAATCTCCAAATTCATCAGTGACCCCTTGTGCTACCATTGGTTTTCCTTTCCCCTCGCTGGCATGGCTTTGGCAGTTGACAGCAACCGAAGCTCCTGCATCAATCTTAAATATTTAACCGAATATTTTGGAAACTGAAATTATTCAATGCTTGTAGTTGCGTCAAATTTCAAGAACTGCAATTAGAACGGATTTGCATTCTCTCATTTTCATTAAGAACATAGCAGTGTAATGTGATGATAGATAAAGACAAAAATATTTCTGCACAGATTAGTGAACCACTGCACGCATAACGCATGGTGGTTCACTGTACAGAAAAACTTGTAGGGGGCTTAAAAAAAACATTGTTGTCAACTTAAAAGTCATATGGTTGTCTTGCAATAACTTGATTGTGAAACTCTTTTATTAGGCTTGATTATTCGTATTTAATGTTTTTAGAAAATGTGCTATCGTCCGTGATATTAACAAAAATAAAATGGCACAGCGTAACGTTGTTTTCTTTTTCTTGGAAACCATATGTTGCTGTTGTAGTGTATAATATTTTCAACAAGTTATCTCTCTATTTCAGGGATCGATTTTGTGGATGTGGGCTTCTACAGTCTGCAAATCTTTAACAAGAAAATATGATAGTTAACTCGCATGTTTATTTGGAGATCCAGGACGAATACTTCTGAGACCTGAAGATAGATAATTCCACATCACTAAATAAATTAGAACCACAAGAAAGTTCAATTCCACTATATACCTTCCAACAAAACTAAATAAATAATTGCAATTATTATAATTGTATAGCATAAAAATAGTTTTTATTTATATTTTGTTAGTTTCCATAGTTCACAAGTTTTTTTCCCTTGCTTACCATTATCATTATATAATATGAGGAACAAAAGGAGTTTTCTTTTTCTTCCCCTACCATTTGGCAGGAGGGTTAGGGATCATTGTCATCATATTTATCTCTACCATTTTTCTTTTCATTTATGTTACAATCAATCACAGACATCTGATCAATAATTTCCAATGCGATTCATTAAATTTAATTTGAAACAAAAGTTTTCTTCTATTCTGAAGTAGAAATTTTACCAAAACGTGAAAGCAAGCTTTTGGTTTGTCACCAAACAATGGAACACCAACTACCTGTAGATCTTCAGTTGTGCAACATTATTAGTCTTTGTCTTTGGCCAACGGGTTTTTTATTTTCATTTTCATTTTCATTTTATCTTCTTAATTTGATTTTCTCAATATAACAGGCAAGTTCATGATTGGCGATTAGCTAGCTTGAAAACTTAATGAAATATATATATATATATGGAGAATAATAAACTGTATATTCTCTCTAATAATCATCTAATTAAAACCCTATATTTGCTATAACATTATATAATAAATTATAAGGTATATATATGTAACATATATTATATATAAAAAGACAAAACATGATTAAAAGGTACTATAGTTTAGAATTCCACATACCTGGTATTGGCCATGCATGAGGTTGATCACCATTATGGAAACGTGCCTCGCAATTAACTGACCCTGTAACGAGGACTGTAGATAGCCTCTCTTCTCCATAGCCAGCCATTTGCACCACTTCATCTCTGCTTAATAACTCGAACAAAGGGTTGTCTTGTCCTGCTGCTGGAGATCCAAGCACGAAGACCAAACAGAGGAAGAGCAGCATCACAAGGGCGTGGCAGCCGCAAAAGTTGCTCATCGTCTTTGTGTGTGTTTATGTTTGTGTTTGTTTAGCAACTTTGGCTTTACGTAACATATATTGAACCCCTCGACGCAACACAATAAAATGAAGCGCTACCTCTTCCCTTTTATATATAAGCCAATCCATCCTTCCATTTCCCTCTCAAACTACAGTTTTGCCCTTATAGGTTTGACTTTTGATGTTTAATTAATCAAATATATATTCATGTGTGAAATAACAAATTTTGCGCTAATGCAAGGTTTACAAAATTAGCTACTAATTATATTATTTGGTTGGATTTAAAATCAAAATAAATGGTGATGTAAAGACTATTGCGCCTATATTTAATTTGTTGTCATTTTTTATCAATCATTTCCACTTCTGCGTCACTAGTAATAATAACTAATAACTAATGAAATTCATTAATGCTTGATATATATATATATATATATATATATTAAAGGGCATCATGGGTATAATGATGGGAAGCGGGAAATTAAAGGAATGCAAGTAACAGAAGGAAGAAGTTTTAAAGTTAGAAAGGGAAGTTAAGCTATTAGGTTGGTAGCCTACCCTAATCGTCTAAGTTCGAATTCAATTGTTTCATTAATAAAATTTAGTCTAAGATCTAAGAAGCAAGACAAAGCTTAAAGAACGGACACGTATCACATATATGTTTCACATAACAATAAAATTATAATCTAGGTAGCAAAACTTAATTTGAGCCTCTCTTATGTGAAAAATGTATATAGTTGATCTCTATTTTCAAGCCTGTCCCAACCATATCTTCTTCGTGAGCACAATTCTTGTCTAGCTACTTTCCCATATATAGTCAGTCTCCAACCCCAACTTCCCTCTCAAAATCGAAATGGAACTTTCATCTGACTCGCGAAATCATTTTCACAGCGTCAATAAATTCACTTCATTCTCCATTGGCGTAATAACATGATCTATGGAGTTTGCCAATCTAACCTTGTGAAATTGTAAAAGATAAGTTGGTGAAACTCCAACATTGACATTGGTTTCCATCAATTTTGAAGACTTAAATTATTGGGCAACGTGGTATACAAGCATGAGAGTTATAAGCTCAAATTTAATAGGTTAGTGTCGTTATTCAACTCAAATTATGAAGTACTTTTTTTATTTTAACAGTAATTCTAAACAGTATTGAAAAATAATATTTGATATATATTATATGAATATATAATGCTCATCAATTTTCAAGCTTTAAACTCAATATATTGCGATGATTGTTCCCATGAAAATGCTCTTATTAAGACATATAATTCAGCATTTAATTTTTATACCCTTCGCTTTCAGGTTGCCTTCATTACTAAAGGAGACTCTCTTTCAGTCTCCCTCTCTCTTTCTCTTTTTCCTTTAAAACAGTGGCACTATTAGGTTTTTCTTTTGCAATTGATTGGTTTTGTAACAGCATAATATAACTAGTATTACTTAATTAGCTGGCAAATTATTTGATAGAAAACTGTTAATAGTTATGGCTCAATGTAGAAATGATGAAAGGAATACAACGTATTAAATGATTGGTGTGAATAAAACTGCAGGTCATTAAATTTATAATTTGACAGAGACTATTAAAATAAACAATAAATCTAGTGGAGGTTATACTTACAATAAGAAGTCGATCTTACACTAAATTTTGATAATTGATTTGCTAGAATCTAACAGCTCACATGTCTAATAAATTACAGTAGTTAGATTTAAATAGAATTGACGACCAAGATTGAGAGTGTAACTTAAATCAGTATAAAATGATCCTAATCCATATATATATATATAGGAGTTTACATTTCTGCAGCTGTTGTACGTGCATCAATCAAATACTTGTTATATATATATTTGAAAGCATTAAATACGGAGAATCATAACCTTACAAAGGATGAAAGTATTAAATGTGGAAATCATAACCATACACCTGTCGTTGTTGTACGTAAAGCGGCTGCAGAAATGATTTTACCATATATATATATAGGGATAGGTTATTCTGCCTACTCTTATTTTGCCTACTTTTACCTACCCCTTTCAATACCATTAGATTATAATCTCATCTAACGGTGAAAATTTACAATATAAAATAAATTCTTTTACCCCTTTCTCTCTTCCACTGTCTCTCACTCTTTCTCTCTCCTTCCCTTTCTCTTTCTTCAATAGCCCTTCAGTATCAAAAAAAGGTGCAAGTTTTTTTCTCAATTCGTCCAACCCAGCCATTGTTATGAGCATTTATATAAAAAATTGAAATGGGGTGTCAAAAAGAAATAAACCCAGATGCCTTATATTATGGAACCAGGTAGGCCTGTTGTTGGGCGTAACATAGAGAAAACATAGATCTTTTCCCCATTTCATGGTGAAAAACAAGATAAGAAAGAAGGAGATAAGTTGATTTGTTTCAAATTTCAATAGCAAAGTAGAAACAATACGGTAATCATGGATTAATTCAAATGACGAGTTATCCGTGGTTTTCGTTTATTTTGTAATTTTGTGATTTCTATCGTTTTCAATTTTATCAGATTCAAATTTTTTTGAAAATTATACTCATCCAGCAGAATTATCATCATTGCATGAATTTAGATTCAAATATAAATTTAGGTTGTAAACTACGCAAATTGATAGAAAGAAATGGGAGTAGAGAGAAAAAGTGTAGGAGGCAATGAGAACAAAGAAAGGGGGAAATGGTTTGTTTTATTTTGCAAATCTTCACCGTTGGATGAGATTGTAATCTAACGGTGTTGAGAGAGGTAGGCAAAATAAGAGTAGGCAGAATAACTTATCCCATATATATATATATATATATATATATATATATATATATATATGTGTGTGTGGGATAGGATCAACTTACACCAGTATATATATAATAAATCAATGGTTAAGATCTAGTGTAAGACTTATTATTCTTACACCGGTGTAAGATGATCCTGCCTATATATATATATATATATTAGAGGAATCTTTTTTACTCTAGTGTAAGACGAAAAAGTCTCACTGTCCATCTTAGCCAATGATTTATGTCCATCTAACAAATGTAATTTATTAAGAAAATAATTAATTAATATCTCAATAAATTACAACCATTAAATGAACGAAAATTAATACTTCTTAATCATACACTAGAGTCAAAACAATCTCTCCTTATATATATATATATATATATATATGAAAGGATCTGTTTACAATTTTCTTTTACAAATTACACTAAGTATAACCGGTCATACACTCTTGATTGAAGTATGACCGGTCATACTTAGTGTAGTTTGTAAACAAAAAATTTGTAAATATAACATTTTCATATATATATATATGGCACATGATCATTTGACTCTGGTGTCAAACTAAAATGTTTGACACATTTTCACCAATCTGACAGTTATAATTTATTGAAAATTAATAATTAATTAATAAGTCTAACTCAATAAATTATAATTCACGAAAATCAACAGTTAAGATTTAATGTCAAAGGATCCTGCTATTATATATATATATATATATATATATATATATATATATATATATATATATATATATATATATCTGAGAATTGTTGATCTTGTCTTTATTTAATGACTTTTTTTGGTAGATTGATTTAATGACTTTGATTTGTGAGCATGTGACACCATCGATCTGCCTTGATCTAATGCCCTCAAATGAGCTGTCAAATTACTTTGATATATATGGCACAAGATCATTTGACACGAGTGTTAAACTAAAATGTTTGACACATTTCACCAATCTGACAGTTGTAATTTATTAAGAATTAATAATTAATTAATAAGTGTAACCGAATAAATTATAATTCACGAAAATCAACGGTTAAGATTTAATGTCAAAGGATCCTGCTATTATATATATATATATATATATATATATATATATATATATATATACACATCTGAGAATTGTTGATCTTGAATTGATTTAATGACTTTTTTTTTGGTAGATTGATTTAATGAGTTTAATTTGTAAGCACGTGAGATCATTGATCTGCCTTGATCTAACGACCCTCAAATGAGCTGTCAAATTAATTTGATATATATCAAATAATCATACCCCATATATATATATATTTCTCCAGCCATTTGAGATAAGCTTATCTCAAGCTGTCCGTTTTAACTATGTACTATATGTAGTTCATAGTTATAATATTAAAGTTATTTTTTTCTCTCTCTTCACGTCAGTAGACAAGTTTTGAAAAGTGATTGAGGAGAGAGAAAAAAAAGCAACTTTAACGTTATAACTATGTACTACATGTAGTACATAGTTAAAAGGGATAACTTGAGATAAACTTATCTCAAGTGACTGAAAAAATATTGTCTCCATATATATATGGGAAATGATAGCTTCATGTTGCATAAGAAACCTATCATACGCAATACACCCATAGAATTTCGTGCTAATTTTTTCTTTTTTTTTTCTTTTTAAATTATGAACCCAACATATTTGTCACTCACATGAGATTACTATCTCATGTAACATGAGATTAGTAAACCCCTACATATATATATATATATATATATATATATATATATATATATATGTATGGCTTTAATGTTTCTACAATGAATGTAGATAAGTTATCTACATTCACTCCCAAGACGACGTCGTTTTTGGTTACAGATTAAAAACTTATGATGAGAAAGACTATTATATCCTTGAAATAAATTATAATTACAAAAATACATTGATCTCAAAACGACTTCGTTTTGGACTCAATGTAAATAACGTATTTATGTTGACCGCATAAAAAACGAACAATATATATATTTAGGGTTCGTTTTTCTGCAGTAAGCCCAATACGACATCGTTTTGGGGCGAAAATCATGGTGTTTTTGTAATTTTAATTTATTTTAGAGTTATAATAGTCTTTATAATTATAATTTTTAATCTTTCAATTTTTACAAAACGATGTCGTTTTGAGAATAAATACAGATAACTTATCTGCAGTAACTGCAGAAATATTTTTCTGATATATTTATATATATATATTATTTTTTCTGAAGTTGCTGCAGAAAGAAAAATTTTGCAGCAGACATAGAAAAATAGAACCCACTGATTTTATTTTATTTTTAAAAATGTCAGGATCCGACGTCGTATCCTCGTAAATATGTGGCTGCTGCACAAGAACTCTTTTTGCAGCAACTTGAGAAGTATAATTGCATAATTGCCATATATATAATGGGAAGTAGTGTTTTATGTCACGTAGAATAGTTGTCTTATGTTGCAAACTCATAAAATCTTGCGCCCTTTTTTCTTTTTTAAAAATTGTGAATCTCGTAACTTTGTTTCACCTATATAAAATATCTATTTTATATGACATAAGATTAATAACTCGCTTATATAATATGACATGTTCGCCTTATGTGTGATTTTTGTCGAAATTCTAATCATTAAAAAACATATAATATAAAATAATAAAAAATTTCTCTGCCCAACAGTATAAATTTTTGGATTGATAATAATGATGGTTATAATAATAATGTTCTTAGTCAACAAATACTCTTTCTTTTTTGTCTGCTGGCATACAAAGTGAAAATTTTATTATTGAGGATAGAAATTAACTTGATCTGAAAGTGGGGTTTCCAATATAAAAACTCCACCAATTAGCATCTAATTAATCATAAATCACAGTACTTTATAAATAGTAATGAGTGAGGTGTTCAATTAACACTAACCTTAAAAAATGATAACATGTACCCCGCACTTTAGATCAGTTTGTCAGGTGGCAGTAGTTGATTGAAGAACGAAGATGAATCATGGCGAGAAGTGAAGTGAAATAGTGGCGTGTGATTTGGTTAATTATGGACTAATTGAAACTTCCACGGCAGTTGACGGAAGGCCCACAATCGTGACGCTTACGGCCCATATGCAAAGCGGCGCGCCATTGCTCCATGAGCCGCCGCTCTCCATAATAATGTCTGATTAGAAATTTGGTTATTTAGAAACATCAGTTTTTTTCATTTCAATGGAATATACTAAAATGTAACAATTCTTTGTTTATACATTATTTTTTCTTTATTATTTTAGAATGGGCTGCTTATGATTTAGCAGTATTTTTGTTGGAAAAATGGTAATTGGTATTGGACTGTTCAGTTCAGACTACTACACAATCCAAACAAGCTTTATAGTTTTTCCGAGTTTTAATAATCTTGGGCCAGATCTCTTCTTTGAAAGTTGAAACTACACGAATTTTATTTGTTGCTTGCTTACTATAAATAGGAATATCCACAATCAATTATTGATATTTTTTCTTTGTTACATAAACATGTATTTTTACTTTTATGCTGCCAGCTTGCCACCTTGCCATTGACTTGAAGAGTCTTCTTTTTAAGTACCCCCACCCACCGTGAATCAAGCGGACAAAACAGTAATGAATTTATTTCGTAAAACAACTCACAAAAGAATAAAATTGAAATGATCTTATCATACTTTATCGGTTATCTTCATACTTTTGACTACACTGAAATGTGGGGTATTTTTCACCCTAAATGAATGATTAATCATTGTAACTAATTGGGTTTAATGTTTTTTTTTTATGTTGTAATATTCTATGTATATATAAAATTGTATGAGATCTATATGTGCGAGTGAAACTTATAATAATAATTTAGCTTGTATTAAGTTAATATATCATGTTAGACTCAAATTACTCTCTCTATATATATATATATAGATTATAATATTTTATATTAGTATAAACTATAATCTTAATTGTAGTTATTGATTTCACTTGAATCTAATTACTCTACTTTATTAATTATATGAATTATTGGATATAAGTAAATCAATGATCAAAAATAAATATAAGACTTCTTATTTTTTACATAAATAAATAGAGGTGACAAAATGAATCGGCAGGTCGAGTTTGTGCCGTGTAAGGTTTGACCCCCTAAGCTTTTTCAAGTTCATAAATCAAGCCCTAATTCTCAAGAGGCTCTAATGGTAGTTTCAACACACAATCATCACTAGGTTCAACACACCTATATCAAGAGTATACACAATACCCATCAATTTCAAAATACAAAAACATAATCTAAATGAGACGTGCAGGTTATATTTACAAATTTTTTTGTTTACAAATTACACTGTCTTTTTCTGGGAGAACACTGGTTACACTATGTTCTCGGATTTGGAGTTATTTAGATTGGAGAAAGATCCGTTTACAAACTTTTTTTGAATTTTTTTACAAATTACACTATGTTATAAAATCTTCAAGAAAACCAAAGGAAATCAAACTTCCTTACCTATTTCGGCATAGGCTAAAACTTAGGTTGACCTAACCTATATATACCCTATTATTTATGATTTAACTTGGTTAGGAGAGGAATCGTAGTAATATATATTTTTTACTATAGTTTCTCTCACTTTATAAGAAAAGTTTATTGTTTTGCATACTAAAAATAAATAATTTGAGACAAAATCAACTTATACCGGTGTATATATGTCTTTGTCCTATCCCTCATATATCTATACCAGTACCACATTCTCGTAATCTCGACATTTATCTACTAATCCACGTTAAAACAATGGCCCTACTTGATGTCCCTCTCCATTTTTCTGCTTTTCTGAGTCCCAGTTTTGGTACCAATGCATTGAAATATAATCCTTAATTTCCATGAGCCGAGCCATAGAAATAGACAGCTTAAGCTTAGCTACTAGGTAGGGCCCTCTCCTGTCGGACAATTGAAGGACGTGGATTTTATCAACCGAAACCTTACGCGTCAGGAACCTTTTGCGGCCTCAAATCGTCCACATGTCACACTATCACAGGACCCAACCCTAAACTAGATCCCAAACATTACAAATGTGAATCCTTTTTCTTTAACCTTATTCTCCGATCCAATCCGTGTAATAAATCATTATATACGGTCGTTACATAAAATATAATAATTAGGGGTATAAATGAGATAAATTGGCTTAGAAGCACTTATGTATATTAAACTAGACTTGATTGGTTACATATACTCAAATAAAACAGTTTCAGATTTTTAAAAAAAAATCTATTTGAAAAGCAGGTCGTGTATTTTTTTTTATATGTCGGACCTATAAGTCTACAGATCGGCTTATAGCATATTATTTATTTTAAATAAAATAAATAAAATTATTATTTTAATAATAAAGCAATATTATTTTAATTATTAAATATTTAATAAGTTTAAACAGACTAAAAAGTCATGCCTAAGCTATTTAAGCCAAAGCTTAGCATATCCTAATCTATTTACACCTCTAATAATTAATGATATTATAATTTTTATATTTGCACCCCAAAAAAAATCCACTCACATATCCACTTCTGCAACCAACTTTATTAAAATTTTCCCCCCATGTAACTCTTTAATTCATCTCACGCACTATTAAACTTAATTGTGACTAACAAATACAAACCCCAAGCACTTGACGAAACAAACAAAACCCACAACCTAATTTTAATCATTATAGTACACATAATTATACGATTATCTATATATACGCCACCACTTTCTTTCCACTCACCCTCCTAAGTTAACTAGTTAATTAGTGATGATACTTGATATATGTATATATATATATAGTAGCATAATAAATATAAATAAAAAGTTTTGAGTTGAGTTGAGTTGGGTTGGTGTGAATTCATCGTTCCATATGGCTGAATCTGACAACGAGTCAGGGGGTCAACCCGGTAACACAAGTGGAAACAATGAATTCTCAGGGTGCAGAGAGCAGGATAGGTTACTTCCCATAGCAAACGTGAGCAGGATCATGAAGAAAGCCTTACCAGCGAACGCTAAGATATCAAAGGAAGCGAAAGAGACTATGCAAGAGTGTGTATCAGAGTTCATCAGTTTCATAACTGGGGAGGCATCAGATAAGTGCCAGAAAGAGAAGAGGAAGACAATCAACGGCGATGATCTTCTGTGGGCCATGACAACACTGGGATTTGAAGAGTATGTGGAGCCACTCAAAACTTATCTCAACAAATATAGGGAGATGGAGGGGGAGAAGACTGCTATGATTGGGAGGCACCACAGTGATCATGGTGGTGAGGCTGAGGCTGATGGTGATGGTGGGGTTCCATCCACTATGATGATGATGATGGGTCATCACCACATGTATGGATCTACTAATGTCTGGAAGAATTAGGTAGCACCTTTATGCCTCTATGCTTTCCATGGCTTTTATATATATATATATAACATATGCATATATGTTTGATTTTAGAGTACCTATGATTGTTGTTTGTATTTTTGTTTGATTTGGAATGCATATAGGAATATGGGATCTTCATATTCTTTTCCTCTCATTTTGCTGCTGAAATAGGAAGTAAGAGTAGGAATAATGTTTGTTTCCAATTCCAATAGCATATACATACATTCCAATTTCTAATTGGTTTGCATTTATTGTCCAAATAATTAAAAGGATGAAATATTTGAGTTACTTTGAAGCTATAACTTCTTTTCGTTGCAACTGATAATTGCTGCCCCGGTTTCTAGAAGCTTGATGTATGATGCATCTGTGCTTTAAATTGATATGTCAGTTAATAGTTACTAAATTGGTAACTGGGCTATGACTAGAAAAGCACCCAAATAATTAATGGGGTGGCTATATTTTGCAGTTTAAATAGATAAGAGATAGCGTTTATACATTGTGCTTTTCATTTCAGTTGGGCTGAAATGGTTTAATGCCCCATGTGGATGCAGGGTAATTCTTCTTTCTATAGGTCAAGAATTTTCAAGGGAATGATAATATTTAATTACTAAACTTTTGTATTTATTACTTGTTTTTTTTAAAGAAAAAGTTTGGGTGAGACTAATTAAATTTAGGCAGTCATAGATTTTTCTTTTTCAAGTAAGACAAAATTTTGTTAAAATGGACAGAATTTAAAACAAGACAAAATCTAACAAAAACACTGGAACATTCAAGTCAAAAGACATTTTACTTTTTAACTTGGTTTGCACAAAATAAGTAAATAAAGTATCTCTTATAATCTTATAATAGTGGCAACTTTAAATGAGAAAATTTTATAATTGAGTTAAAGAGATTTTCTTCGATAAAGTTGACAGAAAAAATAGTAAAATGGAACGTCTTTGATATATTTTAAAGAGACATGATATATTATCTTTTAGATATTTCGATCTTTATTAATAAGAGTTGGATATGGTGGTAAACTGAACTTTAATGAAGAAAGACAAAATTTAAGATTCAGATAAGACAATCGTTAAAAGAACATTCAGTTACCATAGCCTACATGCAACTTGTAATAAGGAGATGAAGGTCAAAAAGAGAGATTGAAGATCAGTTGGCACAATTTAACATGATATTAACAACCTCAGCTCCAAGATGTCACAAGTGATCATAGAGGACATTCATGGAAGAGCACACTCTTTCAAAACTGATCTAACAAATTAATAAACTAAAACTTATCATGATTGGTAGTTCGAGATAAATGGAACCAAAAAAATCCACTAACACTATGAAAGAAAAGAAAAAGGGAGTTGAAGTTTTCATTAACAGAAAAGGAGAGAAGGTAGCCCCTAGGACAAGTGAAATAAACCAAACAGTATTCTATCAAAAAAATAATAATAATAATAATTTATGAGAAAAACATTTATGCACCTATTGCAAAAAAATTTATTTGCCATATATTTTATATTCTTCGGAGTATATACGCAAATTTTTTTAAACAACTTTATTACATGAGATTTACTTTTTTTTTTTATGGGATCCACTCCTTTGTTTGTGAGTGTGTCAGAGACATATTTTTCTGCAGTAATTGTAGAAAAGTTAAACCTATGATTTATATGATCTTTTATGGGATTGACGAAGTTGTTGAAGTATTTTGCACCATGTCTTAGTAAGCTTTGAAATGATTAAGAAGAACGGAAGTAGAACGGTTTATTGCTAATTTTTTATCAGAAGCTATTGCCAAAAACAAATTAATATGATTTGTTAATCTTATATTATACGCTATTATAAATATCTGACATATTTATGTGAACCATTCAGAGTCACTTAACCGAAGGGACATGTATAATTGTGTAGGATAAAGGAATCAATCCTCTCGTGTAAATTTTATATGATATGATGATGTATAAATTTTGTAACTATCATTCTCTTCATAGATATTTATAAATACTGATTGAGTCTTATCTATTTAATATTTATTTGGAAAGAGATAAATACAAAATTTATACATCACCCCATCATGTAAAATTTGCATATAAAAGAAAGGAATATTTCTCATTTTATATGAGACAATTTGTCTCATATAATATACATAAAAATGAGTGAAATTCACTTATTTTCTTTCTCTTTTTACTTTTTAGGGAAAATATGCCCATTTTTTTGTTTATATATCATATGAGATAATTTATCACATGCAACACACGTGAGAAACAATATCCCCATAAAAGAATCAATCTCGTAATATAATGCATGGTGGCGAAACTGCAGATGGGAAGTGGAGACGGTTTAGTGCTGTCTGGAGTTTCGTATTTACTTCCAACCGAGCAATTAAACTATGTTTTGTTGGCTCCACGTATGTGCATATTTTTTATCTGTATATGTGCAGGTGTAATGATACATAAAGGAAAGAGAAAGAGAAAGAGACAGCGACTTTATGATTAGAATTCAATTGAATTGAAATCATATATGAACCATCTAGTAGTCTAGTACTCACTACTCAGTGGTTTTGGTCAAGGAAATGAATGGTTCGAGAAGGTTTTGGCCATTGGTCATTCTTACGCTAGATTCGATCTCGAGTAAACCAATAGTAAATCAGAAATATACTTATCCAGTAACCACAAAAAAAAACTTCTGCAACAATATAAAATAATGTCAGAATACGCATTTTTGTTTGTTTAAAAAAAATGAGTAAAACTTACTTTTCTGTATCTACTGCCCCAGAAAAAAAAATTATAGTAGTTGTAGAAAAAATGAACCCATAATAAATATGGAGAAAATGAAGCTAAACTTTAGAAGGCTCCGAGGCGTTGTGCCGTAGTTTTCTTCTTCTTCATAAGGCCAAGACTTTGCTGTCTAATGACTCTTCAATATAATTTGAAGGCAGGGAAACACAAAAGTCCAAGTTAGCTTTGATGGTGCACCATCTCAACAGGTGATTGATTTGTTGATTATTGTCAAAAGTAATAAAAGATTAGCTTTGAACATCACTAGAATGTAGGTGAAAGAGGGAAGAATTTTTCTTTTGTGGTCATCAAATTTTCCTAGTACGGTCCATGTATGGTTCAATATTTCTTCGTATCCTGTTTTCCTTTTGCTTTGCTAAACCAAATGGAATGGTATATTAACATTATGCATCTTGTTTCGATGTCACTCTCTGAAACAACTTCCAGGAGTGGGACTACAATACTCCTGCTTAGGAGCATTTATCAAACTAAATGTTGACAAGGGAAAAAATTGTCATATTTTTTACTTTTATGGCAAATTGTAGTAGTCATATGGTCAATCGAAATTATTTTCCCACAGAAAGAAACTAAGGAGATACGACTTCTGAAATACTAAAGATGACATAAAAAAAAAAGTAAGAGTATGAGATACAGAACGGTTGACGTCCTAAAGATGATATTGAAAAAAGAATGTGTGAAAATATCATGGTAAAGTATATAATAAGAAAAGGAACATCGAGATAGAATAAATGCCAAGCACATAGAAAAAGTTATATACAGAATTTGAGACAAGGACCGGCATTTATTGCTAACTAGAGATATTCTTATGTGAGCACTAATCGTTGCCTGTCAACGAAATTCAATGAAATTATCTTTTGCACCAAATATGCGCTCATGACAATCAGCACTAAAGAGATAGCAAAGTCATGAATGATGTCATAATGCAAGTTTGTTTATGATGTCTCCAAATAAGCACATCTCAGTAAAATGATAAGAATGGTAGCAGGGAACCCAAGATCCTTTAGAAAGGATACCTCCACTAATGCGTCAAGTGACAAACCACAATAATTGAGTTGACATCACATCTCAATTTCACACTTATATGATCCTCACTTGGTCTATATTTGTTAGAGTATAATATAAACCATTAAAGAAGCTCTCACCCAACAACTTAAGTTTTTGGTTGAATTGATTCTTTACATAGTATCATAGCCTCGTGTCCCGGGTTTGATTCTCGCCGCTCCCATGTCTTTGTGGAATTTCTTAGCACAGGTAGACTGGGCCTGATGCATCATCCACTTTTCAAGCCTAATGGGCTCTCTTGTGAGAGTGCGTGTTAGAGTATAATATAAACTATTAAAGAGGCTCTCACAAACAACTTAAACTTTTGGTTGAATTGATTCTTTACATATTTAACTAATATAAGACTTCACCATTACTCATATTTGAATATTTCAAATGTAAAAACCTACTCGTTCATATTTTCTAGCAAACTGATTAGAGATATTCTTATGTGAGCACAACGAGCAACATAGGCACAATTAAAGACCATAACATGGATGTGTCCATGCCTATGGTTTGCACATGCACTCTCTCTCGCACACACACCAAAAAAAATTAAAATAAAATAAATAACCAAAACAAAGTCACTACTTTAAATCTGATGTATCATGTATTACCAGAAAATGACCGTGTAAGCTTTCTTGATTGTCTAAGTATTATTTAAACCATCAACGGAATCTAAATTTCATTATCACTGCAATTGTTTTCGAAGGAAAAAGCTTAGTAATTCAGGCTTAGAAACTTGCATCTGGTTCAGTCTAATTCAGTTATTGTAAATTGTGTTAATTTACCTACTGAAGACCTGCATTATTCACATAATGAATCAAACAATACTAAGTTTCTAAGATTGAATATTTTCTAAGGGATAAGATCCGTTTACAAATTTTTTTTTGCAAATTACAGTAAGTACGACCGGTCGTACACTGCATGATTAAAGTATGACCGGTCGTACTTAGTGTAGTTTGTAAACAAAAAAGTTTGTAAATATAAACTGTCTCATTTTCTAATTGTGTAAACCTTTGCTGATGCTTATAAAGAATTGCACCTCTTCAGGCCTCCAGCATTCAAGTAAAGATAGCTCTTTCCCTCAGAGAAGTTGGATGTTGTAGATACAGGAGTAAATCCAGAATATCGTCCATCAATCTTTGCCAAGTATATATCATTGACGTACTTCAAAAGTTCATACTTTTCCATGATAGGCTGGGCTGCATATTCATCAAATGGCATCCACTGCAGCAGAGAATAATATCAAGAATTGATATGTGCCTTTGGCTATAATAAATTCGCATTTCCTCACGATTTTTTTTCAAGAAATACAATTTATTGTCGGACTTTTATGGATTAAAGTAAAACAAATTCTGAAAAAGAAAGCTCCCAATGTGCAGTAATGAAAGAAATAAGAGAAATTATGGTATTTTAACCATCCATAAACACTGAACATTTTAAAAGACAAACGGAGAACAAAAGCTGCGTTTAAATAGTGTGTACCTGTGCAGCCTCTATCTCTATCTCCTGTATTTGGATGTCAAAAGAAAGAGGGCGCAACATGCACACAAAGAATAGATCTGACTTCTCAAAGAATGTCATGTGACTTTGTCTGTTGATCAGATATTCAGATGAAAGAAGAAAGGAATGCCCAGTTATCTAAATTGTAAACTCACAAGAAAAATAAATAAATAAAAAGAAGAAAGAGACTTTTCCAACAACTAACAATAAAAAGTGCAACATATACATTTTCCAACACATATTCTAGCCCATAAAGCATGATATTGCTATTATTGCCTATAGCAACATTAGCAAGTTTAATACTTCCAAATGACCATGTAAGACCAAGAATGGAACCAGCAGTTGGTGTGTAAACAGTTAAGGATTCCCCTTTGTCCTGTATGATTTTGGACAATATGATGTTGATGGGCCATCCTCCTTTCATTAATCACTATTCCCTACTTCCTTGCCCCCAATATGAATGAGTTTTGACCCTTTTACCTCCAATTTAAAGTCTCCATATTCAACCATTGGAACTTCCTTTTCAAATGCACAAAATGAAAGATTTATATGTAAACATGCTACCTGAATGCTAACACTTCCATAAATTCTGAGTCAACCTGAAAATTAAGAGAACTTGGAATTATTAGGCTCAGAGTCACAATGCTAAACTTTTGTACGGCTACTGACAAGTCCACATTCAACAGGCTGAAGAGACTGCTTACTCCTGTTTCTTCTTTGACCTCTCTTACTGCTGCTACACAAATATCTTCTCCCTGTATAGGATGAATGAGTAGATTATATACACACAGAATAACTTCTTAAACTACAATGCAAAGCATATTCAAGACGTTTACCTGATCAACAACTCCAGTAGGGAATTTCCAGGCTCCAGTTCCCTGAAAATGTCCACTCTTTTCTTGAACCACCAGGACCTAAGAACGTTTAATAACTAGGAAATTAGACTTTAACACCAAATGCCAAAAGAGCTGAACTTGAAAGAATTATTTGCAGTGAGAGACTCATTACTCGTTTTCCACTGAAATTACTGATAATGAATCACACAAGAATGCAGATGGACCTATAGCCATTCACACACAAGCAGGAGCACAGTGGGAGAGAAGTTCGATTTGATTTAAATCAATACATTAGAGTATGAAGATAGGAGTTAGAATAAACAACAAAGATAGAGTCCATTCATCAATGTTATTTCTATGAATAAATAAGATGCAAGGAACTTTTTCCCTTTCACCTTTCTAAATGATTGAAATATAGTGTTCTTCTCTGGAATCAAGTAACAAATATGTAATTTCGATGCAATCCCAGTTTAAGGCATTTTTATTTTATCATGATAAAGAAAGGTATACCGATATTGGTGACTACTTTCTAAGCATATGGATGTGCTTCCAATTGACCTGGAAGCTTGATTATGTAGTTGCGCTACATTGTGATTAATAATGGGGAAATACCTCACGTTTTTCATTCACTACAAGTGCACCAACACCCACTTGGTGTGTGGCATTTCCGGGAATAGTATTTGCACCTTCTGGAATCCAATAAACAAGCATCAAATATTTTGGTTCTGCATGGTGATACCAAAAACCTTCCTGCATAGAAGTGCCACAGCCATAACGATTGATACAAAAAGTTAGTACATAGAGACATAGACTGAACTCGATTTTTCATCATCCAGTAACCAAACTTCTCAAGAGTAACCATTACCAATACAATAAGCAATAAAATCACCTTAACTAGAGCTTCAACAAGACTGACTAGATGAATAGGCAACTTTATCCAGACTCCCTTCTTACCCTGCAAGACAATGTTGACTCAATAACTAAAATAAACAAAGATAGTGACAGATTCTAGATTCCCAGGCACAAGTAGTAAGGATAAAAACAAGCCAGAAGAATAAACCATCAATATATTTCATACTGTAAACTATCCCTATTGTGACCCAAGTTTTGTTGCATATATATGATGACAAGCTTGTTAGCTTTCAAGAATATATTTCTGAATAGTTCAAATCCATCTCAAACACAATTTTGTTTTAGGAAATCAGATAGTTAGGAAACTGAGTGGCTTATAGATAGAGTTAAATCAAAAAGCTTAATGTAAAATTTGAAATGAAAACTGCTCCTGTAGATCACAGTTGCTAGATTGAGGGTCAGCAGTCATAATGATATTTTTGATGGGGGTAATTTTAAATATTACTGTTAGAGAATAATATAAACCATGGTTTATGATTTATATTATTCTCTAACAATTACCAAAACCAAATGAGAATACATACTAGAAGTTATGCATAATGAATGACAGGTCAATGGCAAAGAAGAAAACCGAGTCATTGAAACTACCTCTCTTTTTTTTTCTTTTTTTCTTTTTCAAAAAAATGTGGGGATAAATGACAAAAAGATATTGGAACATAACTTTTGAAGAGATGATGGAAGCAGGAGTTCATATGCGTGCATTCATTAATGAAGAGGAAACAGAATTACCATGAAAAAGGAAAAATAGAAAAACAAAATAATAATAGTAAAGAAGTTAGCCAATAAAAATACCTAAAAATCACCCAAAATCTGATTCGTTTGCCTTTGGCAGCCACAAAATGAAGTTCAAACAATGTATTTAATTACAAAAACTTTATATGGATATGCCATGTGTTGAATTTAGAGTTTCACCGGGTACGTATCCATCAAATTGATAAATTTAGGAGGACAGAATTGACTACAACACAAGATGATCAATGCAAGATTAGATTTTATATTCCTAGAACCCAATTTGTGAGCTTGTTTAGTAGCCCTTTGCTGCCATAATTTGGAGCACATATGATACCTATCTAATCATGCATAATTTGAAATGAAAAAAGCCACGCCTGGTTCACAATTGTACCAGTATCAGTATGTATGCATCAAGTGAATTAAATGAACAAGGATGATATTAATTACGATATAAGCAACTAATACTAGAGAATAGAGACTACCAGCTGTTTCCAATGTGAAATTGAAGCTCTGAGAATAGATATAAAGATTGTAGAATCCATAGACTCATCCATTTCCACAATAACACCACCATGATCATCATCTGTTGATGTTAGTAGTTCAATCTGTTGCACTTGATCTTCAGCAGTCATTTGTACTGCAGAAAAGGATGAATTTGTTGATGCTGACATGGATGAATAGGAACAGGGGTTGTCACTCTAATCCTGACTGCAAAGGAAGCATGAGCAAAACTAACATTAGACTCTATAAAAAACACTGGTTTATCTTTAGTAATTCTAGAAAAAGAGGAATGCAATTATTAGGCATTCATTCCCTATAAAAGGGGAACACCACCTCAGGGTAGCAGTCCTCAATTCATTTTCCCTGATTGATTAGAAAAGAGATAGAAACGAAGTTTTATAGTAGTACTATTACTACATAGATGCATGAATTACTCGTTTCAAACTCAATCTTAGAAAAGACTTCAAAGCTGTTCTCCACCAATAAGTTTTAAAAAAAAAAACTGCAAAAGGGACGTGAAACGATGCAACAGTGGTTAAAAATGTGAGAAGAAGATTGTTTAACCGTAAAGTAATTCAATTTGTAAAATAAAAGTGGAAGCTTTTATAAAGTGCAGAATAAGAGCATAGATATAAAGCTAAGAGATAATCAAAGGAAAAGAATTTCAGGGAAAGAAAGCACGATGAAAGCCAAATAACCATTTGTTAGTATTGACATAACAGCCGAGACGGGGTATAGAAGGAACACAAAACGACACCGAAGCAGATGAAAGGAAGATCATATATAGAACGCGAGACATCCAACATAAACACGAGATTCAGTAATGAAAATTGTTTAAAGTGCTCTTCTTACATTGAGATTTTGCAAGATTATGGATGGGATTTCCTAGTTGTGGAGATGAAGAATGACACCTCGCCTTGCCTTAAAACTGCGTCTGAATCGAATCCCACGAATGTGACATCCCATTTATGTGAAATTTTAACTCATTTCCTACAAAACATTATTTGCACATTTTTTCTTTCTTTCTAATTTTATGTTGAGCATAACCAAATTCTGAATCTGACATTGAAACTTGAGTGAATGAGATTACTATTACTAAATACTAATACTGATGAGATGAAGCCAAAAAGCACCACGCAATTCCTAAACAGGAAGAATTTCTCGAAGAATAGAGAAACGTACGAATGACGAAAGCATGGGGACAACCTCGTCATTTACTTTGCTGTCTCAGTTAACCTGTTTTTATTTTGGGTTTTAATGATGGCAAAATCAGTTCTTGAGAAAAAAAGTTTGCAGGAACCAATTACAATTATGTATTAGAGATAGTATATAATTATGATTTTAATTTTTTTTTCCTTTTTAGAAGGTTGTCAGCTGACTGATATGATGCAGATAAAAAAAATTAATATTATAATTATATCTTATCCTTAATACATAATTGTAATTAGTTGCATAAGAGAAAAAAATTTGCGGCAACACAAGAAGTTTGGAACCCTTTAATGATTTTTGTGTTACAAACGATAAATTTATTTCATACACATAATAAAATTATGTAAGGCCTATGTGGACCCAAATGAAAAAAAGTGAGAGAAAGAAAAAATATGACCTCATATACTTTTATATATATATATATATATATATATATATATGAGATAAATAAGAAGGGAAATACTTTTTTCCTTTAAAAGGAGAGAAGAGTTGTCTCCTACTGAGACAAAAAAGTGGGACCAACAATTTAAAGAAAAATAAAAATAAAAATAAAAGCTTGACACGAAAGTCGATGTATGTGTAGGAATGAAATGTTGTCTCATGTGAAAGGAGAAAAACATTTTCCAAATAAGAAACTATAAATCCTTTTATTGTATTTTATCGAAAGGTTTATATTTATCAACTAAATTTTTTTATTTTACTTTTTAGTGCAAATTTCAAAACTATTTACAAGTTTAAGTTTTTTAAGTCAATTATTTATTAATTCAAGGGGACAAGACGAGCATCCTAATAATGCGTATTCAAATCATACATCAGCCTATGCACAATTTGTGCAAATATCTATGGAAAAAATGTTTCCGCAGTTAATGCAGAGAAGTTTTCTACAATTATTCCCAAAACGACGTCGTTTTGGTATTGAAATCTTAAAAAATTATAAATATAAAGACTATTATAACCCTAAAATAAATTAAAATTACAAAAACACTATGATTTCCATCCCAAAATGACGTCGTATTAGCTTACTGCAGATAATTTATCTGCAGAGTAACTGCAGAAAAAGCGAACCCAATATCTATACACACTGGACATTGTCGTGTTCTATGAGATGTGAATAAGGGACAAGTGCAACTTGAATGCAAATTGCCAGATAAGCATCTTGCAGTGCACGATTTTGTGGCAGACTTTTGCATAAATTACACTTGGGAGTGATGAATGCGTATAACATTTTCGTATTAAATTGATAAATAATTTCACAAAACACTTAAACCAGCAAATAGTTGTCAAATTGGCAGGGTAAAAAAGCCTACCAACTAAGCTCTTCCGTGATTGATTATATCAGTACCGCAATATGATCTAAAGAGGAAGGTTATTTGCACAACACAGTAAGGTTATTTTTTTCAAAGGTAACGTCTCAATCAACGCGTTACCAGTCTTCATCATATCAAGTAACAATTTGACCACTTTGTTACCATGTATCAATTGGACAAGGCCATTTATTGAAGCTTACTTTTTTCAAAAAGCTACTTAACACGTTATTCACCATTCACTAAATCACCTCACCACACGTAATACTACTTGTCACCAAGTAGTACTGTTTATCAATTATCGTTTTCACCAATACTAGACCCACTCGATCCAAACTTTTAGTTCTCGTCCCTGTCAATCTAAATCGTTTTATTTTTTTGGAAGATTCAATCTAAATCATTAACTCTCCTACGACATACTCTTTGTTGTCTTTGCATTTATCGTGTTCAAAGTGATCAGTTTTATATGTAAGGATCGATGTACCAACAAGAGAATAACTGGCATTAAATGGTGATAGTTCAGTTGGTGATAAGAGAGCTGAGTAAGTGAAAAGAAAAATATCTCGGTTTGATCATCATATGTCATTTTTAGAAAGAGTTTAAATATATTCATCTCTAACTTGTCTCGTACTCTAGATTAGTCTCATAGTCGACTCAGAGAATTAAAAAACTTATGTAAGGGATACTGGAAAAAGTCAAATCCTCAAAGAAATAATTAGAGTTGGGTTAACTTAAAAAGAAAGAGAGAGAAAAAAAAATAACCACCCAACTTAAGAAGGATACTCCAGAAATGAAGTAAAGACGAGCCAATTTTTCTTGTCAAGTAATAAGACAATGATTGCTTTTTGCTTATTTAAATTTGAAGGTGGTATATGATGGTCTTCAAAAATTGAGTCTCATCGATTGTTTGAATGCTCCTTAATTTCCATTATCTGCTATGAAGTTATCGCTTTATTCCAAGTTCACTCCTAGGAGCAATTTCTCGATAAATTGGGCTAAAGCAATCCTTAAGTGTGGGCTTAGAGTAGTACTGGGAGCAATATAATTTGATCAATTCTTCATGAGTCTAATGGGTTAGTTTGCTCTCTTTGCAGGAAACTTAAGGCCCAACAAAAAGAAAATCCAATTCAGCAATGGAAGAAACTTAGAAGAAAAGGAAGCAGAAAGAGACAGAAAAGCAAGCAACAGCGTTTGGAGCAGAAAAGCAACCAACCAGAAGCCTCCACGTCAGTGATAATAGGGGAATATGTGAGCAGCGCCTCAACTATGCAGATTTCAGACAAAATATTGCAAAAGGAAGGGGACCACAGTAGAAATAGCCAAATAGGGTTGAGCTGGCGAGAAGCAACACTCTGATTGGAGAGGATTTGAGGAAAGATGAGCCATAGATCTAAGGAGCGGTAGAGATCAACAATTGAGGGAACCAGCACCTATTTTTTTTTAAAAAGGATCTTCTTCAACCTCGAGTCATACCACAGTAGCTCTGAGTTTTAGTCTTCTGTAATATTCAGTCTTAATTTTCATCATCCTCCTTATGAGCTAAATTTCTAAGTAGGTTAAAGGTGAGGTAGAAGTAACCATCTTTGTCTTAGGATGAACTTGTAATGAAACTATGTCTTCTTTAATGAATTATGTGATGTTTCTTGGTTAAATGCTCTAATTTTGTAACACCCTTTGGTTTGCAACCTTATCCCAAGATCACTTGGTCGATGAAACCCTCACAAAACAATGTGGAGCAATATTGAAAATCTTAGGATATTTTGCTCTGAGTCATAGGAATGTCTAGAAGGAGGAGCATTGTTATGTGTAAATTACTTTTGCTAGTGATTCTTTCAGTCATACTTCTTCAAATAAGGCAAACATAATCTCCCCTGATTTTCTCGTAAAACTCTCAATGTAATTTTATGTAAAAGGCCTTTTGCTCCAGAGTGCGCGGGAGTTTAAACTTAAGCTCTTTAGGGTGACGGGAGCATTCATTTCTGAATTCATACGACATTATAGGAACAACCGAGGGGGCAAAAATACTGATCCCAATACCTACTATTCTCTTTTATTGAATTTCTCTCTCTTAATCATTGTTTTACCAATCACTTGACACTTTAAGGACTTCACAATTGATCTTGTTCATTTTGCTATAACATTCGGTTTGCTATGTTCCTCATGGTAATTTTTACTCTTAAGTGTTCTGTTATTTACTTCACGTTCCAATTCTACTCTTCTCTCGATTTATTTTAAGTTGAGTTCACTGAAGTTAAGAAAGACACCCAGTACTTAGACTATTCAAATTGGTTAATATTGTTTAACTAGCTGATAGCAAATGCTCCTTGGTGAATTTTGACTTAGAACAAGTGCTCTTTACCTTTAGTCGTTCTTTAATTCTAATTTCTTTATTATCTTTCTTTCAAACGCAACTTTTACAATTATTTCCTAAGGACGATAATTTGAAGCTCACATGAAATCCTATATTACTTGATGCGTATGCTTATGCAGTTTGGATAGATTTGCTCTTCATATGGTTAATTGCTCCTCGTAGAAAATAGTTACTCCACACATATTTTGCTCCCACAATTCGATCCTTGCGCATATCTCGACCCAAACAGTATACTATAACAACGGTCTATTTCCTAATGTATTACAAGATACATAGCAAAGTACTATCACGAAATATTTATTATGATATCTATTAAAAGAGAGTTAAAAAGAAAGAAAATATGTGATATGATTAAACAGTAAGTAGAATAAAATAGGAGATTGACAAATATCAAGACACATAAGGAAATAGCCTTTTCCTATCAAAATAGGCCCTTGCCTCTAATTAAAGTCATGTGTTGCTTATTTTTATGTGGCAAACATGAAAAGAATTTATTTTTTTAAGTTATTCCAATTGGTTCATCACTTCACCACTAGTCCAATTCGGGGCGGGTATAGGGATTAAGATTTTAAACTCTTCTCAAAAATGATACGAGGATCTAATATATGTTCTCACCCCACGTGCTCAGTTCCTTGACATCAATTGAACTACCTTCATTTTATCCTCCTTTTCCGCGAACAATATTACCCCAAATCCCAACTATTTAACGTTAGTAGCAGCGTTTGAAGTTTTTATTTTATTTTAAAAGATTACATAAATTCTCCTATGAATAATCTCTTTTATAAGTTTGGTGTTTGTCATTTTAAATGACATAAGTTATGTCATTTTAGAAAAGAGATAAACACAGAAAAACGGAAATCATGGGAGAGAGAAAGTGTGTGATTTTTTTTAATTTAAAATTCAAATTTTCTGTGTGTGTATCTCTCTTAAAATGACATAACTTTCTGTCATTTAAAGTGGCAAACATTTTTCCCCTCTTTTATATACCTAAAAAAAAGCTATAGCATTTGAGAATTGTGAAAGAGGAAAATTTTGTAAAGGAAAAAAATCTTCTTCTTTTTTGTGTGTGGGGGGGGGGGGGGGAATTCTAGCATTTACAGTTTTATACTTATGTATCAGTCACAAAAAAAGAATTGTTCCTCTTTCTTTCTATTTTACATACATTGTATCCGTTCATTATTTGCTGGTTCGTAACAGATGTA